GTCGTCAAGATCTTTTTTGTACAGTTCTTCTGTGTATTCTTGCCCCCTCTTCTTAATATCTTCTGCTTCTGTTAGGTCCATACCATTTCTGTCCTTAATTGAGCCCATCTCTGCATGAAATGTTCCCTTGGTATATCTAATTTTCTTGAAGAGATCTCTAGTTTTTCCCATTCTATTGTTTTCCTCTATTTCTTTGCATTGATTGCTGAGGAAGTCTTTCTTATCTCTCCTTGCTATTCTTTGGAACTCTGCATTCAAATGGGAATATCTTTCCTTTTCTCCTTTGCTTTTCACTTCTCATCTTTTCACAGCTATTTGTAAGGCCTCCTCAGACAACCATTTTGCTTTTTTGCGTTTCTTTTTCTTGGGGATGGTCTTGATCCCTGTCTCCTGTACAATGTCATGAACCTCCATCCATAGTTCATCAGGCACTCTATCAGATCTAGTCCCTTAAATCTATTCCTCACTTCCACTGTATAATCATAAGGGATTTGATTTAGGTTATACCTGAATTATCTAGTGGTTTCCCCCACTTTCTTCAATTTCAGTCTGAATTTGGCAATAAGGAGTTCATGATCTGAGCCACAGTCAGCTCCCGGTCTTGTTTTTGCTGACTGTATAGAGCTTCTCCATCTTTGGCCACAAAGACTATAATCAGTCTGATTTTGGTGTTGAATATCTGGTGATGTCCATGTGCAGAGTCTTCTCTTGTGCTGTTGGAAGAGGGTGTTTGCTATGACCAGTGCGTTCTCTTGGCAGAATTCTATTAGCCTTTGCCCTGCTTCATTCTGTACTCCAAGGCCAAGTTTGCCTGTTACTCCAGGTGTTTCTTGACTTCCTACTTTTGCATTCCATGCTTTTTTGGATGTTAGTTCTAAAAGGTCCTGTAGGTCTTCATAGAATCATTCAACTCCAGCTTCTTCAGCATTACTGGTCAGGGCATAGGCTTGGATTACCGTGATACTGAATGGTTTGCCTTGGAAACGAACAGAGATCATTCTGTCATTTTTGGGATTGCATCCAAGCACTGCATTTCAGACTCTTTTGTTGACTATGATGGCTACTCCATTTCTTCTAAGGGATTCCTGCCCACAGTAGTAGATATAATGGTCATCTGAGTTAAATTTACCCATTCCAGTCCATCTTAGTTTGCTGATTCCTAGAATGTCGATGTTCACTCTTGCCATCTCCTGTTTGACCACTTCCAATTCGCCTTGATTCATGGACCTAACATTCTAGGTTCCTATGCAATATTGCTCTTTACAGCATCAGACCTTGCTTCCATCACCAGTCACATCCACAACTGGGTGTTGTTTTTGCTTTGGCTCCATCCCTTCATTCTTTCTGGAGTTATTTCTCTGCTGATCTCCAGTAGCATATTGGGCACCTACCAACCTGGGGAGTTCCTTTTTCAGTGTCCTATCTTTTTGCCTTCTCATACTGTTCATGGGGTTCTCGAGGCCAGAATACTGAAGTGGTTTGCCATTCCTGTCGCCAGTGGACCACATTCTGTCAGACCTCTCCACCATGCCCCGTCCATCTTGGGTGGCCCCACACAGCATGGCTTAGTTTCATTGAGTTAGACAAGACTGTGGTCCATGTGATCAGATTGGCTGGTTTTCTGTGATTGCGGTTTCAGTCTGTCTGCCCTCTGATGCCCTCTCTCAGCGCCTACTGTCTTCCTTGGGTTTCTCTTACCTTGGACATGGGGTATCTCCTCTCTGCCGCTCCTGCACCTATAACAATCCATGGGTTTAACCAGCAAAAACAAAACAAAAAAACCACCTTCCTGAGTAGAGAAATTCAGGTCATGTTGAATGTAAAAAGAAGCAGTTTTATGTCTTCCTTGCCCATCTGTATATCTCTTTTTTTTTTTTTACTTGCCTTAGTCCACTGACAATACTTAAATCTAGAACAGTACTGACAGGAATAATGTCACTGCATACCCTGACTTTGGTCCTGATCTTGTAGGCAGGCATGCCAAGGCACTTCAGTCATGTCCGACTCTTTGCGACCCATGGGCTGTTCCCCACCAGGCTCCTCTGTCCATGGGATTCTCCAGGCAAAAGTACTGGAGTGGGTTGCCATGCTCTCCTCCAGGGGATCTTCCCAACCCAGAGATCAAACCCACGTCTCCTGTGACTCCTGCGTTGCAGGCAGATTCTTTACCACTGAGCCACCTGGAAAGTCCAGTCCTGATCTTAGGGGACCATTAACTTCATTAACTTTCTTCATGACCATTTCTTCATTAACTATTCAGTATTTTACCACTAATTGTGATGTTAACTATAGATTTCTTTTGTAGACACCTTTTGTGAGATTGAGAAAATTCCCTTCTCTTTCTGAATTGCTAAAAGTTTTATTCATGAATAGATTTTGAATTTAGCAAATGTGTTTTTTTGTATCTATGGAAGTGATATGGTTTTTCTTCTTTAATCTGTTGATATGGTGAATTATGTTGATTAATATTTTGAATGTTGAAACAGACTTGCATTCCTAGGACACATCTCGTTGGTCATGATGGATTTTCCCTTCGGGATACTGCTGGATTTAATTTGCTAATATTTCACTAGAATTTTTATGTCCAAGTTCATGAGGGATATGGGCCTGTTTTATAGTATTCTTGTAATGTTTTTGTAAAGTTTTGGTATCAGGGTAATGCTGACCTCATAGAAAGAGTTGATAATTGTTCCCTGCTTTTCTATTTTCTGGAAGAGAAAATATCATTGGTCTTATTTGTCTTAAGTGTTTGTTAGGATTTGCCAGAAAAGTCCTCTAACTCTAGAGGTTGTTGTTGTTGGAGGCTTTTAACATCTAACTCTTTAGTATCTATGTGACTTTTATATATTTATGCTTCCCAGGTGGTTTTAGTGGTAAAGAACCCTCCTGCCAGTGCAGGAGACATAGAGATGCTGGTTCCATCCCTGTGTCAGGAAGATCCCCTGCAGGAGGAAATGGCGATCCACTCCAGTATTCTTGCCTGGAGAGTCCCTTGGGCAGAGGAGCCTAGTGGGGTACAGTCCATCGGGTTGCAAGGAGTCAGACGAACTGAAGTGACTTAGCCTGCACTCACACGCGTGAGACTTTTTCTTGTGTGAGCTCTGATCACTTCTGTCTTTCAAGGAATCTGTCTACTCTGTCTAAGCTGCAGAAGGTAAGGGCATAAAATTGCTTATAATGTTCTTCATTATCCCTTTAATGTCTATAGGATCTGTAGTGATGTCCCCTCTTCTATTCCTGATATGGTAATCTGTGCCTTCTCTCTTTTTCTCTTGGTCAGTCTATCTGACTAGAGATTTGTCACTTATGCATAGTCCTTTCTGTAGAGGCAATTTTGGTTTCATGAATTATTTCTCCCATTTCCTGTCTTCTGTCTCATTGATTTCTGCTCATTATTGTTTCCTTCCTTCTGTTTGCTTTGACTTTGCCTCTTCTAGTTTCTCAGATATGCAGATGACACCACCCTTATGGCAGAAAGTGAAGAACTAAAGAGCCTCTTGATGAAAGTGAAAAAGGAGAGTGAAAACGTTGGATTAAAACTCAACATTCAGAAAACTAAGATCATGGCATCCGGTCCCATCACTTCATGACAATAGATGGGGAAACAGTGGAAAGAGTGGCTGACTTTATTTTTCTGGGCTCCAAAATCACTGCAGATGGTGATTGCAGCCATGAAATTAAAAGATGCTTACTCCTTGGAAGGAAAGTTATCACCAACCTAGACAGCATATTAAAAAGTAGAGACATCACTTTGTCAACAAATGTCCGTCTAGTCAAGGCTATGGTTTTTCCAGTGGTCATGTATGGATATGAGAGTTGGACTGTGAAGAAAGCGGAGCACGGAAGAATTGATGCTTTTGAACTGTGGTGTTGGAGAAGACTCTTGAGAGTCCCTTGGACTGCAAGGAGATCCAACCAGTCCATCCTAAAGGAGATCAGCCCTGGGTGTTCATTGGAAGGACTGATGCTGAAGCTGAAACTCCAATACTTTGGCCAGCTGATGTGAAGAGCTGACTCATTGGAAAAGACCCTGATGCTGGGAGGGATTGGGGGCAGGAGGAGAAGGGGACAACAGAGGATGAGATGGTTGGATGGCATCACCGACTCGATGGACATGAGTTTGAGTAAACTGTGGGAGTTGGTGATGGACAGGGAGGCCTGGCGTACTGCGGTTCATGGGGTCGCAAAGAGTCGGACACGACTGAGCAACTGAACTGAACTGAACTGAACTGAACTGGTTTCTTAGGGTGAAAGCTTAGATCACTGGTTTTCTTTTTCAATGTAAGCATTTAGCTCTAAAATTTCCTTTAAGAAAGTTTGCTCTATCTAAGGTTTCCTTAAATAAATTCAAGCTGTAAATTTTTCCCTTAAATATCGTTTTACCCGCATCACACAAAGCTGCTATGTTGGGTTTTAATTTTCATGTGATCCAAAATGATTGGTCCTTCCCCTGGCCCTTTAACCAGCCCTCTAGACTGACTGTGTGGCCCTGGGCCAATGGGATGACCGGGAGTTAGGGGTGTGGGGGGGACACCTAAGCACAGTACCACCATCTGGGACTCTGGGATCCCATGTGCAGTATCCAGGCTAAGACTCTACGCTGCCCCAGGCCAATACCAAAAGTGCTATTCACTGGGGAGAACATGAGCTGGATTCCTCGGGATGTCTCAGGGACCGGGCTTCTGCGCTTCCCTTCTCAGGCCCCCCCATCTGTGCGTTTACGGCTGCAGCCTTCCCGATGCGCTTGCAGCATGTGGCACCCAAGGGCCACTTGCCCGCTGCTCCAGGGTGGGGGATGTCTCACCTCTGTGGCTCCTTATCCACCAGCTCGGGCAAACATAATGCCAGCAGCCAAGAAGCCCCCCCTTACCCCAGGCTGGCCATCCCTGAGTCTGTGGTGTTCCTTTCAAGGTAGAGAAGCTGAGGTTCCTTCTCCACACTCCTTGTGATCCCCAGGCCAGCAGGACCCCGTGCTGCTGGAGGCCTTGTCTACGCGGCTCATGGAGATCTCCCGAGACCATCCGGTCAGTTCACCAGCACAGCTCAGAAGCACCCTGCCCACCGGCACCCTATTTCTTTCTTTCCAGTCTAGAACCTGGGTGGCTTTTTATGGGCTGGATTCCAGGTCATGGATGTGTTTGAGCAGAAAGGCCGAGTCCTGAATGGGCAGCTTCACCCTGCAGCCAGCTGGGGCCTGAGCATAGGCACAGACGCCCACCCGGGGGCTGGCCCCTCCTGGCGGTGGTGGGGTGGGGTGGGGGGGTCACACACCAGGCTCAGATCCAGGGCCCCAAGGTTGCTCCTCGTGCAAGGCAGGTGTCAGCAAACAGGGCTCTTGACCTCCTCTAACCTACAGAAGTTGACTAGAGGTCAGACAGGAAATTCAGGCAAGGCTTTACTGGGACCCCTGCTGCAGCCGGAGGGTGGGGCACGGGGTAAGAACAAACAACAGGAGGAGGATGAGGGGGCTCCTTATACCGGGTGAGGCTGAGGGTGGGTCCCGGGGTCGGCGGGAGGTACCCTGGCTCTGGTAGCATCGTGTGCAGGGGGCAGGCACTGCTCCCAGCTTTGGCTCCTGGTTGCTCAGAAGTGGACATCGGGCATTTGGTCTCTTGGTATCTTGTTGTCCGCAGTTTGCTCCAACTGTGCCTGCACGCAGTTATTTTCAGCTCCTTAGAGTTTCCTTGTATTTTCTTTCTGGAGGAGACGGTTTTTCCGGGTGCAAGCACTGCAGCGAAGGGTCCCAGGGACCCTCGGAGAGCAGGGTGGGAGAGACGGAGAGCGTGAGAGCGCAGGACCCGCCCCCGGGCACGGGCGGGCCCAGGGCGGATGCCGCGCGAGGCCACACGCTACCCTTCGCCTCTGCCGTCACCCGGCCCGTCGCCACACGGAGACAGTCTGCCTCCGCCGGCTGCAGGCGCCCAGCCCGGCGCCCTGGCGGGGGACGTGGCTGGGAGGCCTGGGCGCCTCCGTCCACCCCGCACGCGGAGCAGAGCTCATGCAGAGCAGCCCCTCCGCACCCACCCCCACTTCTTGCTGTGCCTGGAACAGCCCTCACAATGTTCCCTGCTTCTCCAAGATGCAGAAATCGCAAGCGGCATCCGTGTTCTTGTAACAAATTAGCCACACTTAACTCAAGTGCCCGCCGCTTGCCCGCCTGCCCACCCACACGCCGCACCCGCGGCGGGCCTGACTCACTCACCTGCGCCCCTGCAAGTTCACAAGCAGCGGTGGCCCTCACCCCCACCCACACTTGTGACAACCAGGCTGTGATGACTGGGCCCCAGGCCCAGCCCAGCTGAGCTGCTGTGTGACCCGGGGGCAGTGTGCATCCCCTCCTGGGCCCGCTCCCGCTCCGTGAAGCCGGGGTTTGGGGTAAACCAGACCTCTTGAGCACAGACGTGACACAGCAGCCCACAGCCCCCCTGCCTGTCGTCTCCCAAGCCCCCCTCGCAGCGAGGCCCCTGCCAGCCAGGCCAGCAGCTCCTTCTGCAGAGCGGCTGTCCTCACTCCGATGGCGCTGAGCTAGCGGCAGGAGTCTCGCTGGTTGGGGCCACGCCACAGAGGGGGGATGTTTAAGGCAACAGGTTTGGGGGTTTGGGGAGAAGACCTGCCCAAGCTCAGGTCCCCTCCCCACCCCGCTGGCTGTGTGTCCTGGAACAAGTCCCTGGCCATCTCTGAGCTTCGGTTTCCCCTTCTACCACAGGGGGGCCATCATCCCCACTCCGCTGGGCATTAGGGTATTAGGAGGCGGCACAGCCTGGCACCACCACAGGTCCAGGCGTTTGTTGAATAACTGAATGAAGGAATGGACGTGGGCGGGCTGACGGCCCCGGCCGCCAGGGCGCCTCCTGGGAAGGGACCCGAGACCCCGCACCGGGTCAGACAGCGCTGGGCTGAGAGTCCAGAGCCCGTCTGGCCTCCTCCCCCCGCGACTCTGAGTCTCTGAGTCTGGCCCTCACCCGTTCACCCCGATCCTCACGGCCGGTGAGGACAGCTGGGTGGGGACGGGGGCCAAGTGCGCAGCCAAGGCGGGGCTAGTCCGGAGCCACCCTGCCTTCCCACCTGGGAGAGCAGAGATGACTCCGACAGGCTAAAATCCATTTGAAAAATTATACTAGAAAACGTGTAAAGTCTCACAGAGTTTAGCATTTGCGCCCACTGGACAAAACTCCATCACTACAGTAACGAGTAAACAGTTTTCCTCATTCGATTTCCATTCCCACGGCAGGCACTCCTGTTCGAGGGCGTCAGGGAGGCAGGTTTAGAACTGGGGGCTCGTAGGGGGCTGGGTACTCACACTCGTAGCTACACACCCTGGGCCACCTTGGGTTGTTCCCACTGTGGGATGTCAAGGACTTAGGGGTGCTGCTCAGGCAGGAAGCTCAGTGCTTCCAGGACCCAGAGAGCCCCGGGGCCGGGTGCAGGCAGGCAGGGCCAGGGGGGCGGGGTGGGCAGGCGGGCGGCCCTGGGAGCCTTCCCTCCCGTCCTGGGCAGCTCTTCAGCATCGTGAGTGCGTTCTTTATTAAGCGAAGGGAGGACTTCCCTGGTGGTACAGTGGATTAGAATCTGCCTGCCCGTGCAGGGGACGCCATCCCGGTCCAGGAAGATTCCAAGAGAAGCCGCCACGATGAGATGCCCGCACACCACAATGAACAGTAGCCCCCGCTCAGAGCAGCTAGAGGAAAGCCCACGCCCAGCAACAAAGACCCAGCGCAACCAAGGGTTCAGGAAAAACTGAGCATCCTCTGCTCAGGCAGCCCCGCGGGGCCAAGGGGGCGTAACGGGGGCCCTCAGGTCCTTGGGCCACAGGCCCCCTGATTCCAGGAAGGCCCCAGAAGCCCCTGTGCTGACAGCAAAGGCGCATCACCCGAGGTTCTGGACTCGCCACCGGCTGGGGACTCTCAAGAGCCCGTTGACCTCGATTATAATGGGAAACCCAGCAGCAGAAGCTGCCCTGGGCCCTCAGGGGGTGGCTGCCAAGGACTCAGGTCCTCTTAGCCCTGGCCCTTCTCTTCACCTAAGAGCAGAGTTGGGGTGGGGGGGGCTTCAAGTTGCCTCGGGACAAGGGAAAACAGACACAGGGAGACGGCCGGAAGGTTCTCCCTAAGAAGGTCCAGGCCGCGGGGCACGCAGTGAGGGACTCCGCACAGGGCAGAGGAAGCACTGGCCCCCTTCCTGCCATTCCCCTCGCGGGCCAGCCCCTGCCCTGGGCATTCCTCCTGCTTCCTCCTCCCCCTGGTCCAGGCCACGCCACTCTTGGGCGTCCACCCTTGTGGCCTCCAGTCCCCTGTCCGCTGGCCTGCAGCCCCAGTCCCCTTGCCTCTCACAGGTGAGTTCCTGGGCCTGGTTCCTTCGCCCAGGTAATGCACGCTCAACCTTCAGGAGTCCCCTCCTCCAGGAAGCCTGCCAGGGTGCTCCCCAGACCCAGCCCTTATACGAGCTCAGCCCTCACTCAGTCCTGTCATCACACGCTCTCTGGTCTGTCCTGACAGCTACCTTGGGCACAGCCCACACACATGGCCCCTTGTCACAGGGCAGTACTCAGGAGACATCTGGTGAGTGGGAGGGTGAGGTGGGGAGGGCATGGACTCCAGTAGTAAGCTCCCCCGCCCGCCTGTATCCCTTCCCACACTTTCTAACTCGAGTCAAGATTCCCAGTTCCTTGGATTCCTGATGGGCACATATTCCTGCAGCTCCCGACATGCAGGGGCCAAGCAGGCAGGTCCTGGGGGAACCCAGGGGACCCCACCTGTCAGCAGAGTAGGGCCTCTGAGAGGAAGGCAGGACCCCCAGATCTGAAGCTCCCAGGGCGCCCCCAGCGCCCAGCGTGCCCTCAGTGAACATCACCAGACTGTTAGCAAGCCAGGTCCTGAGGGGACAGCAAGAGCCCGTCTTTGGAGCAGGAGGGACAGCCCACAGGTGAAATCCAAGCCAAGACACCCTTCAGAATCCAGGCGGTGAGGGGAGGGCCTTGAGCTCTACTTGAGGGGGCTGGGGGCCACCTCGGGGATTCCAGGTAGATTCCAAGGGCAGCAACAAAATAACCACAACAAAGATAAACATAACCCCCCACCCCTGACACCCGATTGCCAGCCCTGCTCTCCATCCCTCCAAGGACCCAGAGCCCCCAAGGCTGGGGCGTAGGAGGCCGGCCTGGAGCTGATCAGCGATGGAATTCCAACCTTGAACTTGGGTTCTCCCTGCACAAGCCTCCTACCTTCCCTCAACAAAAGACTCGCCCCCCACCCCCAAGCTGGGCATTGGGCCCACCCCTCATCTGTGAAGGGGGAGCCACCAGCTCTTTGACCTGCTGTTGCCATGACCAAGCGGGGCGTCCACTCTTGGGAGGCCAAGGCCACGGGCCAGAGCCGCAGTGTCCACCACGGCCCTCATCACACTGGCCACTGAGCAGCTGCCATGGGCCAGCCAGGAGAAGGATGCTGGGTGAGAGGCGAAGCCTGACCTGCCCAGAGACCAAGTCCAAACGACAGGCCCACCAGTTGCCGTTTCCGAGTCATCACGTGTTGAAAACACATTGAGATGACGTCTATGGGGTAACGCGTATGTGCTCAGTCGTGTCCGACTCTGTGCGACCCCCTGGACTGTAGCCCGCAAGGCTCCTCTGTCCATGGGATTCTCCAGGCAAGAACACTGGAGTGGGTTGCCATTTCCTCCTCCAGGGAGGTCTCCCTGACGGAGGAGTCGAACCCGAGTCTCCTGCGTCGGCAGGCAAATTCTTTACCGCTGTTCCACCTGAGAAGTGCGAGGTAACCTGGGTTATGTAAAGCACACACTGAAGCTGATGTCACCAGCTGTTTTTGTTGTTTTTCATGCAGCTGCTAGAAATCTAAAATCACGTTTGCAAGTCCCATGCTGGGTCCCGCGGTGTCTCCACCGCCGGGACAAGAAGCCCAAAGGCGCGGAGCAGACTGGGGAGCTGTGCTTGGACCAGGCTGAGGACCAGGCTGGAGCGAGAGGGCACGCCTGGGGGCGGGGGGCACCAAACAGCGTAAAGCAGCTTCCCAGGCTCTGGGTCTTCAGCCCCAGTGCCCGAGGGGCAGGGCCTGCGCCCCTGGGGCCCAGCCCACGGTTCCGAAGGCCTGCTTTGCAGGGGGGTGGGCAGGAAGCAGGGAGGGCGCGGAAGCCCGGTACCAGGGTCCAGGCCACCCCACCAGTGACCACAAGACTAGAGTGCCCCTCGGGGCTGCCATCCCCCCCAGGGCAGACTGCCAGAAGCCAACAAACAGCACTTCTGCCCGACCCACGACCCACAACCCACGACCCCGACCCCGACTCACAACCCTGACACATAACCCATGACCCATGACTCCAACCCCGACTCACGACCCCTACCCACGACCCCGACCCCGACCCACAACCCTGACACATAACCCATGACCCATGACTCCAACCCCGACCCACAACCCTGACTCACGACCCCGACCGACAACCCATGACCCATGACCCTGACCCCAACCCACGACCTACAATCCCGACCCACGACCCCGTCACACCTCCTGGGTCTTGCCCGCTCCCTCCCCCCTCCCCCTCCCCACCCCGCCCCCACCCCTGCCCCCGCAGTAACAGCCGCCTGGCGCAGCAGCGGGGCAGCCACAAATCCTCCCCTCTACGCCCTCTCCTCTATTTACAACGGGCACACAGTAGCAATTCAATCTGAAAAAGTGCCGTGTTTTCGGAGGCGTGCAGCCCGAGAAATTGATGTTTGTGTTAATCAATCTTGTAGGAGCCTGCGGGGCTCAGAGAGGTGAGACAGCAGAGAATTCTTCTATTGATTAATTGGACTCGGAGCTGGGAGCGGGGGAGTGGGGGAATCAAGCACTCTGAGCGCCTGAGAGCTCTGCAGACGGGCAGGTCCTGTCCCCCGACCCCTGCCCAGCCTGCGGAGCGTCTGGGGGGCCTGGGCTCGGGGCCCTCTCACTGCCTCCAGCACCAGCTGGGGGCCAGGACTTCGGACTCCCTGGAGGGTTTGGGGGTGACCCCCTTCCTGTCTGAGAAGGCTGGACCAGGGCACATCTCTGCCTCACAGTGCTCCCTCCACTGCCCACCTGGCCGGGTCTGACCCCGCCGGAAGTCCAGGCCGCCACACTAGGTGGTTGGCACTTGGTCCCACGGCCAGTGCCAAAGGGGCTTCTGCCTAGCACCCCTCACCAGAAAGCCTCTGTGCTGGCCTGGAGCTCCCCGTCTGCTGATTGGGCTGGTAGGAATGAGGCGGGCGCTCGAGTCTCAGAGCCAGCCCGCGCCCATTCGAGATGGCCGGCCGTAAATCCAGAGGGTGCACCTTCTGGGTCCAGAAATCCAAGGCCCAGGCTCTCTGATGGTTCCAGGAGCATCAGTTGACCTCTGGGGCCCAAGAGAACCAGGAAGTGGCAGGTGGGATGTGCAGGGAAGTGACCAGACACTCTGCGTCTGTAGGGCTGGTGCAGACACCTAGTCTGCCTGCCTCTCACTGATTGGGAGGGACATAGACCCATCTTACAGAAGAGAACACTGAGGCTGGAGAAGACGTGCCAGGACCGGAAAGCGGCCTCAGGACCCCAGGGCCAGGGCTCTGTTCTGAGGCCCCTGGTGCCTGGAGGCCTCTGCCCCATATCTCCCGGGGCCAACACCACAGCTGGGCAGCGAGAGGGTGTCTGCCTCCTGCGCAGTCATCCCCAGGCCTCAGCTTCCCCATCTGTGAAGTGGGCCTGGAGAGAAACACGGGCAGCGGCCACCACCCGGGCACTGTGCTGGGGAGCCTGCCGGCCAGGATAGGCTTGGTCTGGAGCACATGTGACCTCTGCCCCACTATATGCAATGACCTGGAAAGGGCTCAGGGACTCCTGTCCTCACCCGCCTTTGGGGAGCCCCCGGGTGCTGGGGGAAGCCTGGAGGCCTTAGACACCCATGTGCTGCCCTCAGTCAACCCTGACCTGGCTGGCTGCCTCCCCCTCCAGGGGCGCCCCCATGACTCGGGAGGGCTCAGGGAAGGGCCAGGCCATGCTCTGTGCTGAAAAGGAAGTGGATTTTTAAGACTGGTCAAAGGGCATTTTTTAAAACTTGCTAATTGGGTAAGTCTTGCCCCATTTCCTTACACAGGCTCGCACGCGCACTCCTATTCACATATCTCTGATTTTCCCACAAACAAAGTGTAATCTGTTACTGCACAGAATGTCCTGTTTAGGTTGACGGAGCCAAGAGGGGTGACCCCAGACTGTCCCACCACGAAACGCACTTCCAGGAAGAGCTTGACGACGCGGGGGCGTCCTCCCACGCGCTGAAAGCCCCCAGTAACCACTGTTGAGGAGAGAGCCACTGAGTGGGTCCAGAAACATCAGTGTTCAGACACGAAAGACAAGGTATAGACAAACCCAAAGGACGGAAGAAAAACAGACTTGGGGAAACACTTGCTGGAGGTACAGCTGGAAAATCTTCTCCATTAGCACAGAAGAGGTCCCAGGGACTTCCCTGGCGGTCCAGTGGTTAAGACTCTGCGCGTCCCATGCAGACGGCACAGGTTCAATCCCTGGTCAGGGAACTAAGAGCCCACTGCCTCCCGGCACGGCCAAAAATAAGTAAATACAAAAACAAAATGCACAGTCCAGTTCATTAAAAAAAAAAAAACGAAAGAAACAAAAGGGTCCTACAAGCACATCATGAAGACTGTTAGCCCATCAGAGAAGAATGAGCAAAGGACACGAATACCTATTCACTTACAATTAACAAGCACTTCAAAGTATGTAAGTTCACAAGATGCAAACGTTAAAAATCTCTTTACCCCTCACAAATCCGCATGACTGTTTTAACACCTAAAACTAATAAGATGGAGGGGAAAGGTACTCAGGTTTCCTATTTATTGTTCTGAGAGGAAACAGGGCAGTTTTCACACGCACACACACACACACACACACACACCGTCTCACACACACACCGTCTCACACACACACACCGTCTCACACACACACACCGTCACACACACACACCCCATCTTACACACACACACACCATCTCACACACACACACCATCTCACACACACACACACCGTCACACACACACACCATCTCACACACACACCATCTCACACACACACCATCTCACACACACACACCATCTCACACACACACCGTCTCACACACACACCGTCTCATACACACACCCCATCTTACACACACACACACCATCACACACACACACCATCTCACACACACACCATCTCACACACACACACCATCACACACACACACCATCTCACACACACACACACCATCTCACACACACACACCATCTCACACACACACCATCTCACACACACACACCATCTCACACACACACCGTCTCACACACACACCATCTCACACACACACCATCTCACACACACACACACCGTCACACACACACACCATCTCACACACACACATCTCACACACACACACCATCTCACACACACACCGTCTCACACACACACCCCATCTTACACACACACACACCCCATCTTACACACACACACACCATCTCACACACACACACCATCTCACACACACACCATCTCACACACACACACACCGTCACACACACACACACCATCTCACACACACACCATCTCACACACACACACCATCTCACACACACACACACCGTCACACACACACCATCTCACACACACACCATCTCACACACACACACACCGTCACACACACACACCGTCTCACACACACACACCATCTCACACACACACACACCGTCTCACACACACACCGTCTCACACACACACACCGTCTCACACACACACACCGTCACAGACACACACCCCATCTTACACACACACACACCATCTCACACACACACACCATCTCACACACACACACACCGTCACACACACACACACCGTCACACACACACACCGTCTCACACACACACACCATCTCACACACACAGACCGTCACACACACACACCCCATCTCACACACACACACGATCTTACACACACACACACCGTCTCACACACACACCGTCTCACACACACACACCGTCACACACACACACCCCATCTTACACACACACACACCATCTCACACACACACACCATCTCACACACACACCATCTCACACACACACACACCGTCACACACACACACCGTCTCACACACACACCGTCTTACACACACACACACCGTCACACACACACACCGTCTCACACACACACACCATCTCACACACACACACACCGTCTCACACACACACAGCATCTCACACACACACACCATCTCACACACACACCATCTCACACACACACACACCCCATCTTACACACACACACACCATCTCACACACACACACCATCTCACACACACACCATCTCACACACACACACACCCCATCTTACACACACACACACCATCTCACACACACACCATCTCACACACACACACCATCTCACACACACACACACCGTCTCACAGACACACCGTCTCACACACACACACCGTCTCACACACACACACCGTCACAGACACACACCCCATCTTACACACACACACACCATCTCACACACACACACACCGTCACACACACACACCGTCTCACACACACACCGTCTTCACACACACACACACCGTCACACACACACACCGTCACACACACACACCGTCTCACACACACACACCATCTCACACACACACACACCGTCACACACACACACCCCATCTCACACACACACACGATCTTACACACACACACACCGTCTCACACACACACCGTCTTACACACACACACACCGTCACACACACACACCGTCTCACACACACACACCATCTCACACACACACACACCGTCTCACACACACACACCATCTCACACACACACACCATCTCACACACACACCATCTCACACACACACACACCCCATCTTACACACACACACACCATCTCACACACACACACCATCTCACACACACACACACCGTCACACACACACACCATCTCACACACACACCATCTCACACACACACACACCGTCTCACACACACACACCGTCACACACACACACATCTCACACACACACACCATCTCACACACACACCGTCTCACACACACACACCATCTTACACACACACACACCCCATCTCACACACACACACCATCTTACACACACACACACCGTCACACACACACACCATCTCACACACACACACACCGTCACACACACACACACCGTCTCACAGACACACCGTCTCACACACACACACCGTCTCACACACACACACCGTCACAGACACACACCCCATCTTACACACACACACACCCCATCTTACACACACACACACCATCTCACACACACACACCATCTCACACACACACCATCTCACACACACACCGTCACACACACACACCATCTCACACACACACCGTCTTACACACACACACACCGTCACACACACACACCGTCTCACACACACACACCGTCTCACACACACACACACCGTCACACACACACACCCCATCTCACACACACACACGATCTTACACACACACACACCGTCTCACACACACACCGTCTCACACACACACACCGTCACACACACACACCCCATCTCACACACACACCCCATCTCACACACACACACGATTTTACACACACACCGTCACACACACACACCCCATCTCACACACACACACCGTCTTACACACACATACACCGTCTTACACACACACCGTCTTACACACACACACACCATCTCACACACACACCGTCTCACACACACACCGTCTCACACACACACCCGTCTCACACACACACACCGTCACACACACACACCATCTCACACACACCCCGTCTTACACACACACACCCCATCTTACACACACACACCATCTCACACACACACACACCGTCTCACACACACACCGTCACACACACACACCATCTCACACACACACCGTCTTACACACACACACACCGTCTTACACACACACACCCCATCTTATACACACACACACCATCTCACACACACACACATCTCACACACACACCATCTCACACACACACACACACACACCGTCACACACACACACCCCATCTCACACACACACACCGTCTTACACACACATACACCGTCTTACACACACACCGTCTTACACACACACACACACCATCTCACACACACACACCGTCTCACACAGACACCGTCACGTGTGGGCACCTGCTGACTCACACCTCACTTCTGGCTGGCTCCACTGTAGTGGGTCCTTAAGCTATTTGAATTAATTCTGGCCTTTGTTATGGCAAAAACAGTCAAAACAAATCAAGGGTTGGGCAGAGGTAAATAAGTTATGGTGCTTTTATATAATGTGACAGTGATAATGGTTCAGTCGCTCAGTCGTGTCTGACTTTGCGACCCCGTCGGCTGTAGCCCGCCAGGCTCCTGTCTCCATGGGATTCTCCAGGCTAGAACACTGGAGTGGGCTGCCATGCCCTCCAGGGATCTTCCCAACCTGGGGATCGAACCCACATCTCCTGCACTGGCAGAAGTGTTCTTCACTGCAAAGCCACGAGGGAAGCCCATATAATGTGATGCCTCGTGGTTATTTAAATGCCTGTGGTAGAGCTCATCATGGATACCAGGAAACACAAGACGGACACAGTAGAAAGGCACGATCCTAACGACACTTCAGTGCAGATATGTGATACATACACACACACACACATGCGCGGGAAAGGCACAAACGCCTGCGCCAAAGTGCGCTGTCTCTGGGAAGCAGAATCGATTTTCTCTCCTTACTTTTCTGTTCTTTTGGTTCCATCTTTTGCACACTGAACCTGAGTTTTTTCCCCACAACTAAGCTCTAAAACTTGCCTCTTCCCAAAGCTCTCCACAGAACCCAGGAAGGAGCCACAGAAAGTTCCCCGGCCTGCAGCTGACCGCTTGAACTTTAGCAGGTCACTGGCCTTGGATCGCAGCTGGGAAGGGGGTGACACCTGAGCCCCCCGCTCGGGGTCGCTGAGGGTGAAACTGGAGCACAGCTATGACTTGGTCTCCCGGAGCAGAGGCCACGTCGCCGGCTCAGTTACGGGCGGTGGACTCTGAAACCTCCAGGTGACCGAGCGGCTTCTCAGCGCCTGAATGGCCCGTCAGGGAGGGCCTGGGGCTGGAGCCTCACGCGTCAGTCGCCCCACCACACGGCCGGACCCCGCGGGCAGCAGGGGAGGGCTTCCTGGGCACATGGGTCCAGGGCCAAGGGCGGCAAGAGGACCCGGGTACGCGGAACAGAGGGGCAGGGCGGCAGGCAGAGGGACGGAGGACAGCGTTGCAGGAGTGACAGAGCCATGAAGAGGGGGATGCCGTCGGGGGAGGCGGCCTGACGGGGCAGCCGTCAGCGAGCGGACCCCGCAGGACTGACCCGGGCAGGGTGCGGGGCAGGGCCGCCGGGCGGCAAGAGCCAGGCCGGCACTCAGGTCCATCCAACCTTCACCCTGGACTGAGAAGCTGAGCGGGGGCCTGAGGGCCAGAGAGACGGACAGACTCAGGGCCACATGGCAGACGCCAGAGTCCAGCGTGGGGGCCGGGGGGCTCAGAGCTCGGGGCTGGGGTCAGGGCGGGCTGAGGTCCCCCAACCCCCGGAGACAGCGGCTCCCGACTCCCTGTCCAGCCTCAGCCTCTCTCCATCCAGCTCACTCATCCCGCCGCAGGGCCTTAGCACATGCCAGCCGGGGTCTGGATTCGCTTTCTCCAGGGCCCTGATGTCTGGCTCCGCCCTCATCTCCAGATGGAAGCGAACCCCGAGACGCCTTCCCTGACCTCTCGGCTGAAGTCGGCCCCCGACACCGCCTGCCCCATGTCCCTGCCTCATCTGTCCCCGTGTTATGACCGGCCTCCTCCTTCTAGAAGATGGCGCACCCACCCATGCCAGATGTCCACTCACCCCAAGAGCTCCCAGCTGAGGGCCCACCCACGCCCCAGATCCCGAGATGCACCCGCACTCCCACAGAAGTGCCTGCCACCCTCGGGATCACACCTCCTGTGCACACATCCGGTGTGGCCACCCCCTCTTACAGAGGCGTGCCCAGCCACGCTCAGTCCATGTTCTGCTGGCGGCCGCGGTCAGCCCAGGGCCACGTGTTCGGGTCCCCCGGGCCCACTCTGGACGCCAGCCCGGAATGGAAGAGGAGAACTGGGCCTAGCATCCCAAGGTCACGGGCCAAGTGCGGAGGATGCCGCTCCCCAGTTGAGCAGAGGCAGCACCAGGGTTACTCCAGGCTAAATAAACAAGAGGATGGGGCAGGAAGGGACGCGTGGACACGGCACGCCAGCTAGCTGACCCGCGGGCCCAGGAGCCGGGCCTGCGGGGACGTAGGCAGAACGTGGGGTTCGCTCTGGCCAAGGGGCTGCGGGCTAGGGAAGCTGCCTGCTGGCAAGGACAAGGCCATGGTAACCACTTCAGGGTCGAGGGGCCCTGGGGGACGGCTGCCTGGCCCCGGCCCCTCCTGTCCTGCCCTCAGACCGGAAGACAGACCCTCGGGCGGCGACTGCCCTCTTCTTCAGGTGCGGCCCTTCGGAGGGGCTGCAGGGCCATTCTGCCCCCCAGCTGGCCTGGGGGAGGTGGTGCTGGGGGCCTAGCTGCCCACACAGCCTCTCCAGCCTCGTGTCCTTCTGGGCCCGACGGAAAGCACAAAATGAACCCAGATTCTGTGGAGCTTTGCGCCCCTGGAACCGGAAACATAGCTCCATTCTTCTGGGAAACAGGCTTGTCTCAGAGTCTGAAAGGCCGGTGACATGAACCCCCAGCCAGAACCTTGCCGTCTCAAAGATGCAGGAGTAGCTTCCCCAAGGTCTGGGGGGACAGAGCGGGGCCAGAGCCCACACCCAGACCCTCGAGGAGGAGCTGCTTCCCCGGAGGGCCCGAGCACCCTGCAGGGACGGGAGGGGTCCGGGCTCTGCTCAGCCCCACCCGATCTACAAGAGGGGCCCATTCACAGATGCAGAAACTGAGGCTGGAGAGGGTAGTGTGGTGACCGACAGCCCCACAAAGATCTGTCCCCTGGAATCTTGGGGACACACATGATCTTATCGGGGGAAAGGGTCTGCACAGATGTAATTACGTTAAGGATCTCAAAATGAATCATCCTGGATTTCCGGGGGGATGGGGGGAGGAAGGGGGCCTACAACCAATGACTGGCATCCTTACGAGAGGAGATGGAGGAGATGCGGCCACAAGCCAAGGACAGCTGCAGCCGCCAGTAGCTGGAAAAGGCGGGAAGGACCCTGCCCGGAAGCCCGTGGAGGAGCGATGTCCTGTGACACCTGGATCTCAGACCTCAGGCCACCGGGACCGGGAGAGGGTATGCTTCCATGGTGTTCAGGCCCCTGGTCTGTGCGGCCTTGTTACAGCAGCTGCTGGAGCCCAGGAAGACAGCTTCGCTTGCCCCCGAGGACAAAACAGAGATTCAGGCCGGTGGGTGGGACCCCAGAGTCTGCACTGAAGGCAGCCGTGCACCGCCCTGGACAGACAGCCCCAGAGAGAAGGACTGGGCCCTCCTGCCTTTACTTAGGCTCCAGCCACCCTCCAGCATCTGGCCCAGCTAAGCGGGAGGTACCCAGGGACCACCTCCCTGCCTTTGCAGCAAGCTCAGGGGCCCAGAGTGGCTCTCGTCGCCTCTGCGGGCAGCAGGCTGAGTGCGGAGCCTGCAGGGAGCCAGGGACGTGATCGGACCGAGGCTCAGAGAGGCCGGAAATAGCAGAGGCCGCTGGGGCAACGGCGGGGTCGTTGGGTCAGGGCAGGAGGCTTCAGGGAGCCAGGCTGGGGCCAGCAGCATCCGGACGCCCCCTACCACTGCCCCCACCCCAGACCCCGTGGGACCTTCTCAGTCACGCCTGCCTCCGGGCAGAGCCCTCACTCTGCACGCAAAGTCCAGGCTGGGGCACGTGACCCCAAGGACGACACCCACCCCCGCTCTACCGGGACTCCCTGCTCCGGGGCTTGCTGCCTCATCCTCAAAGGGAGGACACCCCGACCTCGGGGTTCTGGGGAGGCCCGAGATGGGACAGAGCCAGCCCCGTGTGTGGGCGCTGCCGTTACCACCCCAGCCTGGGCGGAGGGAGGTGCCGGAAGTGGGGCGAAGCAACAGTGGTGACCCTCCCCACCTCCGTCACCCAGGGCAGCCCCAGGGAGACGCCTCATGCTCGTCACCCCCAGGGGACCCCCCAGCCCCCTCCAAGCCAGGCACAGTGGGGGCCCAAGCTTGGGCCCCGCCATCCAGCGCGCGTACCCAGAACTGCTTGTCCAAATTTCCGACACGCGCTTCTCTCCAGCGCAGCATCTCCCACGTCTGGGGCCAGCGGGGTCCACTAGCACGAGCGGGCTCTGGGCTGGCCCTTCCCCACGGAGACACACGGGCAGAGCGCCCGCCAGCCGCCTTAAGTGCAGCAGCTGGAGCCATGGACAAGGACGGACGGACGGACAGGGCAGGGGCTGTGAGCCCCAGGAGGAGCACTGAGGCGGAGAGGCCGCTCTTCCCAGAGCAGGCCAGCCCGGCACCCCACTGACTGCGGTGACCCAGGGGGCCAGGGCCTCCACGTGGCCCACTTACGCCCTGAGGGATCCGACCCAGCCCCGGCCCCTCCCCGGATGCCTCTGCAGCTGCCCAGACTCCATCTCCTCCCTTCCAGTCCTGCCGGGGGCCCTGCTCCTTCCTGCCCCAGGGCCTCTGCACAGGCTGTCTTCCTCCTAGAGCCCTCCCCTCCTTTCCTGGGCAAACTCTGACTCCAGCTTCAGGTCTTGCCCTCCCTGCCCACTCCCCAGACAAGCTCCCTCAACCCCTCAGGCTCTCGTGAACCTAACCCAGGAAACATTTGTTCACTGCCGGCTCCATGGCCCCCACCCAGGCCTAGAGCTCCAAGAGTGTAGGGCCACATGTCTTTGGGAATGTCTTCTTGTGGGGCTGGGTCAGGGAAGACACTTCAGCAAACACTGGTCACCTGAATGAAGGGTGAGGTCTTCCCCTGGGTCCCCACCCACAGCTGAGAAGGGAGGTTAGAGAGGGGAGCATCTCGCCCCAGGCCCTGAACCTCCTACAGGACGGGGCTGGACGCTCCGGGGCAACTCCGCTGGGGATCCCAGGGCGACACCCGTCCTCACCGGTCTGCCCGGGGATGGACCTGCGGCAGGAGAGGCCGGTGCACTCACACCCTCTCCTCCACAGGGCAGCACTTCTCTGAGTGAGTGTCTGCAGCTGGAGCTCCACGGGGGCTGCGGGCGCTGCTCCAGCTGATGGGGGTCTGGGAAGTGCCGAGTGGGCCAAAGCGTTAGTCGCTCAGTTGTGTCCAACTCTTTGCGACCCCATGAACGGTAGCCTGCCAGGCTCCGCTGTCCATGGAGTTCTCCAGGCAAGAATACTGGAGTGGGTTGCCATGCCCTTCTCCAGGGAACCTTCCTGACCCAGGGGTTGAACCTGGGTCTGCTGCATTGCAGGCAGAGTCTCTACTGGGTGGGTGAAGGGGGAGCAGAATTCTCTCTCGCAGGACTTAGAGCTTTTAGGCCTTCCACACACTGGCCTTGGGGGAAAACCGTAAGCAGAACTTCACACGGGGGTGTTTCTGAACCCCCGCTGAGGGTCACCTAGGTTCCCTGGTAGACAGCAGAGGCTAACCTGGGCTGTGCAGTTACCCAAGCGTGTTAGTTGCTCAGTCGTGTCTGGCTCTGCGACCCCACGGACTGTATGTAGCCCACCAGGCTCCTCTGCCCACGGGATTCTCCAGGCAAGGATACCGGAGTGGGTAACCACTCTCTCTTCCAGGGGATCTTCCCAAACTAGGGATTGAACCCGGGTCTCCTGCATTGCAGGTGGATTCTTTACCGTCTGAGCCACCAGGCAAGCCCAAAGCTGCCTTCAAATTCCTCTCTATTTCCTTCTGGCTGGGGTCTTCTCTGAACCTCAGCTTTCTCCTGTCACCTGGAGACAGCAAAGCCCAGGTCCCAGGGCAGAAATCCTCTGTGTCACTCCTGGCTGCAGCTGCACGCAGAGGCGGGGGCGGCTTCGATGGGCCTGAGGAGAGGGGTGGGGAGCAGGCGGCTCTCCCTACGCCTGGCTCAGCCTTGCTCTGTCTAGCAGCCTTTTTTAAACTAAATTCTTTCCAGTCTCACTTATAGGGCGAGTTGTGGTGCCCCCACGCAAAGGGCATATAGATGTTTCTTCATTTTGCATCCCCCAGCATCCCTGCCAAACCGGACCCACCAGGGCCCAGAACCAGGAGGACTGCGTTCCCTCCCAGGCTCTGGGGCCTCACCCCTGCAGCCTTTGGGGAGGAGCCGGGTGCCCAGCCAGGGCCGCGGGGGGCAGCCGTGGGACCCGGGGGGGCGCGGGCTGCAGGGCTGTGCCTGGACCAGCGAGGAGACAAGGCGAGCGCCCAGCGCCGCGGGAACCGGACAAGGATGCCCGCACGGCCCCTCGCTGGACAGGCCGGCCTGGCAGTGACTTGTCTGAACGTTTGTCTCCCCCTTCTGGAGCCCGAGGGCTCGGGCCCGGATGCAGAGGACACAAGACACACAGACACCCCCGTCACGTCCTCCCTGCCCCCCCAGCCAAGGGCAGGACTCCTGGGAGGCGGGCACCGTCCCCCCTTCTGTCCCACAGGTGACTGAGGAGAAGCAGAGCAGGAGCCTCTGCCCGGCTGCTTCTGCAGCCTACGCGCAGAGCTGGCGGCGGGGCAGCCCGAGAGCATACTGGAGCGGCCATGAGCCGGCCCGTGGAGAGCAGATGACCTGTGTCCGGGTCCTGCCTGGCTCCCTCCCTCAGGGCCTCAGGACGCTCGCAGGGAGCTGGTCCCGGGATATTTATATCCTGGAGGAAGGGCAGGCCCGTGCTTGGCCCACGAGGAGCTTCCTGTCCATCAGGGCCATGGGGGCCAGGGCAGAACCAGAGCACCCGAGAGGCCGGCCAGTCACGCACAAACGGCCTCGGGCCAAGCACCAGCCCTGGGAACGCGCGGTCCCCTCCGCTCTCCGCACGTCCGGGGTCAGTGGTCACTTTATTAATAGCAGCCCCTGAGGAGAGGTCACCCCCCCTCTGGACCGGCATCACCCTTGCTGCGGGCTAGGCCGAGCGACCTGGGGGCATCCCCGGGAGGGATGGCCAGGGGACACGGCCACCCTGCCTGCCCAGGGCTCCAGACCCAGCAGAGGGAAAAGCAGGGTTCCTTCCTCCCGCCATCAACTGCAAGACGGCAGCAGTTTCATAACAGCTCTTGGGGGCAAAAAGAAACTGCACTCACTCTGCACTTTGGCAGAGTGACAGGCCCCATCCTCAAACGCGAAGCCGAGAGGGACAGGGTCTCAGAACCACACAGAACATCATGTCTGAAACCATCTGGGCCATTAACACTCAGAGAAAACCCCGGAAATTCAATCACTCACCCGGACCTTCCCTCCTCCCCTGCACAGCAAACCTCTGGACGAGTCCTTACTGCCAGGAAAAGTTGTGAGAGATTGAAATTCGCAAAAAAAAAAAAAAAAAAAAAATTACTGCTGGTCCTGCCCAGGGCACCCCTCAAGTCATTGAGAAGCCATTTCACATGTAGCAATTAATAGGAAATATGAAATCAGCAAAAATGCAAAAAAGTGTGCCAATCAGAATGGGTGGGTGGCAAAAGTAGGCTTACTTTTCTCCTGTGTGGTTTTAAATGCACATGCAATGAGGAAGTTTTCCGTGTATTATGGGAAAAAATGGACTTTTGAAAGAATTAACTCCAGGAAAAGCGTCCAGGCTACACCTGGGTAGAGACTGTGTGTCAGGAACCCCACAAATCTGATGCTTTTCCGCCCCCCACCCCCCCGGGCATGGCCACCAGCCCCCAACATCCTCTGGAAACTCCTGGTGCCTCTGGGGTCCAGGAACCTGGGCTCCAGAACCTGCTGCCCACCGCACCTGGGCTACCACCTGCAGGCACTCGGGAAACACCCTGAACCTCAGTTTGTCTATCTGGAAAAGGGGACAGTAACAGCCACCCTCTACTGAGCCCTCCCTGGGAGCCAAGCTCTGAGCTCCAGTCCCGTCGGGGAGGAAACTGAGGCTTGGCCGTTAGGTGACCTACCCAGGGCCCCGGAGAGCCAGCCTGGACAAGCAAGAAGGCTCCGCTTCCCAGGTTTACAGGAGGTGGGACGCAGGCCGTCCACGGCGGAGAGGAGCAACCCCGGCCCCTGGTGGAGGAGGCAGCCCGCAACCCTCTTCCAGGCGCTCCTGACAGACAGCAAAGCACAGCCACAGACCCGCCTGCCACTTCAAGGCCGGGAGGATGGGAGCCAGCCAACAGGGGTCTCCGCCGGCTGGGGCCTGCTGGGGCCCGAAGGCCACTTGTCTGAGGGGTGGCAGTGAGCAGTGGCCTGAAGCCGACTCTCAGAATCCCGGCACTGCCTCTGAAATGCTCGTGATGGCCCCAGGAGGTTCCTGGGTCACCAAGGCCTTCCGTCCCCAAAAAGTAATGGGTCCTCAGGGCCTGTCACCGTTGCTGAGAATGTCACTGCTCTCCACTGCCCAACCGAGGACCTCCCAGGAAACTGGAAGGGCCGCGGGGGCCAGCTGGTCAGCAGGCAAATGGAGGTCTGGGGAGCTGGAAGGGAGGGGGCAGAGGTCAGGCCAGCCCATGGCCGCCCGCCCGGCCCCAGGCAGCCCGCCGATGTCCCCAAGACCGGTCCCGAGTCCAGCCTGAGTTCTCGTCCCACCAAGGCCCGGCCTCTGCGGGACAGGGCTGGGGGAGGGAGGAGCTCTCCACCTGCGGCAGTGCCCCACCTGCAGGGGCCTGGAACCCCGAGCTGTGAGACAGGCGAGCCGCCACACCGAGGGCTTCCCGGGAAACGGAGACGGCCGCTTCGGGGGCCTCCAGCTTCCTCCAGCCGCCTGGCTCCTGACCCTGACGTTCCCCGGCTCAGGCCTCACCAGAGGGCGGGAAAACAGGCTCTCCAGAGCCACAGGGAAGTCTCTGCAGTCGGGGCAGCAGCAGGGCTGAGGCTCCCACCCAGCCCGACGCAGTCCTCAGTCCCTGCGGTGGAGCGCTCCCGGGCACTAGAAGTGGACTCGGGGACTGGACCGGGCCCGGCATGGACGCCGGCTAGTCTGGGTGGGCCCAAGGGCTGCTGAGGCCCTGGCCTCCTCTCCTCTGTCCTTGGCCCTTCTCCGCCACTTTCTTCCCTCCCTGGACCTTCTCTTCCGCGTCATGTGCAGACCTGCAGAGCCGCCATGGAGGACTCAATGCCCACCCCCTCAACAAGCCCTCATGTTCACAAACTCCATGCCCCCCCAGCAGGCTTTCCCTTCAAAGGGGGTGGGGGGAAGCGTTCTGCAACTTTGTTCAACACACGTGTGCTGTGTGTGCGTGTGCTAAGTTGCTTCAGTCGTGTCTGACTCTGCAACCCTACAGACTGTAGCCTGCCAGGCTCCTCTGTCCATGGGATTCTCTAGGTAAAAATACTGGAGGAGGTTGCCATTCCCTTCTCCAGGGGATTTTCCTGATCCAGGGATCAAACCTCCATCTCTTGTGTCTTCTGCTCTGGTAGGCAGGTTCTTTACTACTAGCGCCTCCTGGGAAGCCCTTGTTCAACACAGAAGCGCCCAAACAAGCTCCTTCCTTGTTCCCACAGGGCATCTCAAGGACCAGTGTCACTAAAGCACATGTTGGAAGGTGCTTCGTTCCTGGGCAGATGACAAGAGCCCCTCTCCCCTGTTCCGGTGGTTGCCAAATGTAGCAAGGAAAACCCAGAACAGTATCACAGAAACAACGAATACGCACCTCCTAAAAAATGTTTGAGGCATCCTTACACTTTTAAGCACGCATCTTTTATCTGAGATTCCAATCCAATCGGAGTCCGGTATTTAGCAATTCCACCAGGACATCTGCAGGGGAAAGACTCATAGAGGCCCCAGGCTTCACCAGGGCTGGAGGGGACCCCACACTTCTCACCCTCTGGGTCTGGGTACCCCCCTCCCAACAACCCAGGCAACAACAGGTGGAGGGGGTGAAGCTCACTCCGCAAGCCACGCCTCTCCCAAAGCTTCTGAGAAATAGGCGGGACTGGGCTGTCTCACCTTCTCTCATTTCTGGAACTTTTCTGGGCTTAGCCCCTGATTCCATGAGGAGCCTTTAGGGACAACTTCTGGGGATGGTCAAGTGAGTTCATTCCCAGGGAACTCAGGTTCAATGAGGGCTGGGCATCCTGGAGGCACCAGGAGAAGCAGCCTCAGTAAACGCAGCCCAGGAACCCCGGTCTGCACCAGTCCCGGGAGGGAGCTGCTGCCTCCAGGGTCCTCCCTGCTTGGTCCTCTAGACCCTGTGAAGGCCCTCTGGCTGCCTTCCCTCACAGGCAGCCTTCACCTTATCCTGAAAAGTTTTCCCTGGTCTGTGTCATCATCTCCAAGTCCCTTGCATGAGGTGGAGTCATCCACTCTCCACCCAGAGCAAAAGTAGGATGTCAAGATGGGGGTGAGTGGGGTGCCCCAAAGGCTTTGAGAATGTAGATTCCTAGGCCCGAGCCTAGACCCCCAGTCAGACTCTGCCCAGGAATCTGCACGCAGTCAGCTGCCCGTGGGGACTGGGAACCCGGCAATGGGGAGGAGGTGACATCATCAGGGCTCTGGGCCACTTTGGATGGCGTCTCCCATGTGCCCAGACCTGAGGGTACCAGAGGCCCAAGGCTGCGGGGTCATGCGCAGAAGTTCTGGCTGTGGAGCAAGACCGCCTGGCACCAACAGACCCCCTAACCTGCAGCCTGGATGGAAGCCCTCTGCGGCCCACTGAAGGGCTGATGTCCATGTTACACGCTTTGGCCGGTGTCATCAGCTATCATGTGCAGGTGCTGACGACACCATTATCGTGGGGGTGGGGATGAAGTGGGAGGACAGTGGTGTGGGGCCACCAGGGCCTCAACACACAGTGGGTGCTGAGTGAGGACAGCGGCTCATCTCCAGTGGGCACTCACCCTGCCCTGAAAAGACCCCCAGGCAGGGGGCACCCAGGTTGGGCAGGGGCGGGACCCAGGCGAGCCCAGAGTAGAGAGGAACAGAGGGCTTTCTAACACCGCCAAGATTTGGAGAAGTGGCCCAGGGCCCTTCAGGTAGTGACAACGGCGTGCTGGGTCTGGAAGGGAAATGCTAAGGCCTGGCAGGCAGCCCGTAAGAGCCGCGGAACATCACTGAGCACGGCTGGCAGTGGTTTGATGGTAGCCCCGGAGGTCTGGGACTAAGGAGGCACGGCCGTTGGGACTGCGCGGGCAGGTGGAGAAAGCACTGAAAGAGGCAGGGCTGATGCCTCTTGCAGCTGCCCACTGTCCTGACCAGCTCCAGAGTGACAGCCAGGCCTCACGCTGCACCTGCGGGGCAGGACAGGGCCTTGCCGGAACCACACGGACACCTGCTCCCAGCTGACCCAGTCATCAGTGGCTGCCTGCCTGTCTCCTGGTCACGGTCTAGGCTATTTTCTCCCAGGATGATCTGCAAACTGGCTACAGCTGTCCCCTGAGGACCTGGTGAGCTCTCCACCTGGAACTAACTGGGATCTTCACGGGTGGCGCTAGTGATAAAGAACCTGCCTGCCAATGCAGATTTAAGAGACAGGGGTTGACTCCTTGGGTCGGAGGATCCCCTGAAGGAGGGCATGGCAGCCCATTTCAGTATTCTTGCCTGGAGAATTCCAGGGACGGAGGAGCTCTAAGGAAACCGGCCAACCTGAAACTCCTCAAGGGGCGGCTGGCCGGCGGGACGCGGCTGGCGTCCGGCAGGCCGAGTCCACCCCAAATCGCTCGGCGTCGCCTGGCTGGACCCACCGGCCACCCACCCCTCGGGTGCTGTCTCCGGGCACACACACGACGTGACACTGCGCGCGTGTGGGCGCCGAGGCGCGCACGGACACTGTGGACACGCAGGCGTGTCTGCACGCACGTGCACCCGTGCACACGCACAGACACGTGGTTTACCGGAGGCTCGCCTCCCGCGCACACGCGGCCCTGCGCCCGCAGCCTCGGGCCGGGAGCGGCATCGCTCGCCGTCTGCACTCCGGGGACGGCCAGGAGCCGAAGCTGCAGAGCTGTATCTTAAAGCGACAGGGTAAGGGCGGACAGGAAGCGCAGAGGCCGGCGCCACGCAGACCCCAGCGAGCAGCGGGCAGCCGACCGTCCGCCCAAAGACAGCGGTGCGACCCCGTGCACGCGCGGAAGCCAAGGGCCGTACCCCGGGAGCATGCGCACAGCGCGCCCGACTGGCCCACACCCACAGTTCCAAGCGCGGAGCTGCGTCCGGAAGTTCGTGCGGTGGCCCTTCCTTCTTCGCCCTCTGATTCGCTACAAACCACTTCCGTTTCCGCAGTCGGTTTCGCGCCATCTCCTGACGAGCCGCGAGGCATGTCGCGGTAGGAAGTGCGCGCCCGCCCTGTTTTGTTTCCGGGGGAATCTCTCTTCTTTGAGGGACGCTGGGCTTCCGGGTAGTCCTCTCAGCCTCTGATTGGCTGCTTTTATGAATATATTAGATCACGAAGACTTTTAATTTTTCCCCCTTTTTCTGAAGCAGTTTTTTCCTTCACGTTAAAATAAATAGCAGTTTAGGATGGGCTTCGTCCTGCCTCCATGTTGGATGCTGCTTCCTCCAGCGACGCAAGCCAGAGTCACCGCAAAGGTAAGGTGGTAAGATTCTAGGTCTTTAAATACGGAGCGTTCAGAGGTGAGGCTGTGTTGTATGAAAGGAGAGAAGGTTAGCACTCCCCTTGACAAGGATGGAAGAGGCTCTCGGGCCTGACAACACGCATACGGTTAAGGCATTGCCACCTACTTCGTGGCATCTAACCACTGTTTTTCTCTGGTTTGCACGGCTCGTGGCTGTGCAGACAGGGGCGTGTGGTGCGCGTGGGTACACGGTGTGTGCAGTGCGTGGGTGCATGGTTGCGGTGTACGCGGAAACTTGGTGTGCCCGGCACGCGTCTACACCGCGACAGGCAGGGCGTGTGACCCGAGCCTGGTACGCGTGTGTGCCGCGGGGACAGGCAGCTATGCGACTCCACGCCCTCCGCTCTGAGCTGCTTGGCTTTTTTTCATAATAAAAAGCGGACCACGGCTCTCGTGTACCTGGAGCAGGTGTGCTTCACCTCCTCATCCCCACCCAGCCACAGAGCTGGGGGCACGGCCAGGGACGGACATCAGACATCAGGAAACCCCGGTGGCTCCCATTTCCCGCCACTAGTCTGATCTCGGGCGCAGGCGCGGGGAGGCTAGGCAGGAGCCCGGGTGGTCAGAGCGGGCCCTGCAGGTGGCTGTGGTCTAGCGGGTTTCTCTCCTTGTGACTCCTCTCCTAATGAATCCGCCTGCAACGCGGGAGACCTGGGTTCCATTCCTGGGTTGCAAGATCCCCTGAAGAAGGGGACGGCTACCCAGTCCAGTATTCTGGCCTGGAGAATTCCATGGACTGTATTAGCCCATGCGGTGGCAAAGAGTCGGACACCACTTGCACTTTCACTTCAGCATCACGAACACTCAAGGAGCAAATAGTGACCGAGCAGCCCCAGGCTGTGGGCAGCAGTCCAGGCAGGGAGGCCCCCAGCCCCAGGAGCCCACACCCCAGACCACTCCAGGGCCTTCCTGGGCACTTCGGTGAGGGCAGGCAGAGCAGACGGCAGTGGTCGGGGAAGGTGCGGCCCAAGACACCCGGGATCAGGACTGAAGAGCGAGCGAGCAGTGGGGACTTCTGTGCGGATGCTCCAGACCAGGACAGCCAAGTGCAGAGGCTTTGGCCGCCCGGCCAGAGGGCAAGGGCTACTGGCCAGGGTACCAGGCAGCACCAGAGGGTTTCCCACAGCTGGCGGACAGGGCCTGGCGGCTCCGAGGGCAGGGGAGAAGGCCGGTGGCTGGCCCGGGGGACGAGAAGTGTTCAGTTGGGACACGTATGAGCGCTGTGGGACTTGCTAACAGTGAGGGTCGGGTGCAGGAGGAGCAGGTTTGGGGAGCTGGAGGCCTGAGACTCAGCCTGGACTCCAGGAAGCAGGTCTGGCCTGTGGATATAACACTGCAACTCGTCAGCACACTGGCCATGTTTAAAGCCACGAGGCTGGTAAGGCCACTTAGAAGGAGGATGTGGACAGAGGCAAGTGAGGCCTGAGGCCTGGCGGGCCGTCCCCGCACTCTCTTGGGCGATCAGTCTGCTCCCCCTCACCAGCCCGTTCTCTGCCCCTCCCACCATCTCCCGAAGGCCTCACCTCAACCCTCCCTGCTCCCCTGCACCCCAGCCTTTTGATGAACAGGTCTAATATCAGGAAAACACACGTGACCTTGAAATAGGCCAAAGTAAAATGGCCAGGTGTCGAGCCCAGGGTGCCGTGCAGAGGTCCCCGCTGTGGTCTTAGGGCCATTTCACAACCGTCATTGTGGGCTGTCCACAGACCCTTATCTTCAGAAACGTCAAACTGTGCCCAGGGGGATGTCTGTCATTAGTATCCATCTGCAAGTCCATTTCCTGTTGCATGTGTAAAACTCTCCTTTGAACCCGTCATCTGACAGGTTTCCTCACTGACTTAAGTGAAACCTCTGGCGAGTCTGCACTGGCTGAGTCACTGCCTTCACGCCATTCCTGCCACAAACGCTCCACTCCTGCCCCCTCCCACTCCGGTAACAGCTACATGTTAACAAAGTTAAGTGCTTCTTTGGGGACAAAATTACAAGACAGGAAATTCTTTATTTTCAAAAAGAGAATGCATTTTTACATAAATCTACAACAGAGAATTCAAATGTAGAAAAAATAAACTATATTCAAGGACACGGCACTCTGCACACATGCCCCTGCTCTGGGGCAAGTCCGACACCAGAACCAACAAAACCCAAAGAACCTCAACCTCAGTCCAGAAAGACCAAGGCCGCCGCCGCCAGGGGGCCTCCACATGTCCCACCCAGACGCTCAGGTGCTGCAGGCTCGGGGGTCCCTGCGCCGGGGTGGTTCATTCCTACCACAGCCGAGCCACCGGCATTTCTGCCTCTGAAGGGGAGGCTGGGGAAGCGGTGGCATGCTTGTCCCCAGACGTCTGTGACTGTCCTCGGTGCCACAGCGGCCGCTGGGCGGTGGCCCCCTGCTCCCCCACCTGCAGGGCCCCCTGGAGGCCGAGGACTGGCCTCGCCACCCGGACCCACCCGGGGCATGGGGCAGGCCTCCGCCGGAGAGGCCTCGGGGCACCAGGTGGACCCGCTGCAGGGAGGGGCCCCCGGGGAGCAGCAGCTCCCTGACCACCCCGCCCTGCGTGCCCTGCAGTCGGCGCCAACACCCACGGTCCCGCTGGCAGGAAGAGGCCCCTGATCAGAGCCCAGGTGGGCAGGCAGGTGGATGACACCATCTCCCTGTGAGAGCTGGCTCCCAAGCCCACCCGTCCTGAGGCTGGTGGCGGGGGGACCAGACCAGGGCTGCCCGCCTCTGCCCTCACCAGCGTCTGCCACGGACCTCGAGACATCACAGTGGCCGGGGCGTCTTTGCAACGGGGAACCCTGCCGCCTGCCTGCAGGCCCACACCCACGTGGCCAGCCCCCTGCAGCCCTGGGCTCCGCGGGGAAGGGGGCAGCGGGCACATCATTCTGGGGTCTGTCAAACATCCTTTCAACCTCCTGCCGACTGAGACTTCTTGTAAAAGAGCCACGCGGAGGAAAGCGCTGGGTGAGAGCTCGGCTGCCACGCGGGCACACGCGTGCGCTGCTGCCTTCAGCACGGCTCGGGGCGTGAGCAGCCGTGAGACCAGCAGAAGCACTGAGGGTGGTCCCCACACCAGCTTCACGGGCGCAGTGACCCAAAGCACAGGCTTCCCCATGGACACCACGCAATGGGAGCTCTGTGCTCCCCGGACTCACTGAGGACACGTGGTCACGGCAGGACGGCATTGCCAGAGCGCCACTGAACGCACGGCGACGGCCCTCCCAGGCTGGCAGCCAGAAACCGTGGTGGCGACGGTCACAGCGCTGGCGCTGGGCGATAAAATCGCAAAAACGGTACAGAACAGTTACCAGAAAAAAACACAACTCGTGGTAAGTTGAACTTCACCTTTTTGTAATAAAAAATTAAAAATTTCTGTGTACTCTTTGAACACAATATTTCTGTGGACTCTGAACACAACACAGACTAGGAACTCTTTCCCAGACGGTGAAAAAGGAATTGGCAAAAACGTCACCAGCAACTTGCAGACCCTCAAGTGGGAGACGTGCCCCAGCCAAGTGTCTTCAGAGGCAGCTCGGGCCAAGCCCCACCGGTCCCCAGGCTGACCGGGAGCCCCTCCAAGGCCACGCTCCTGCCAGTCAGGGTGGACTTCCAGCAGGGCCCGGCCCCTCGGGCCTAGCAGTCGCTCTTCCAGAGCTTGATGGTCTTGTCGTTCTCCAGGGCGGCCGAGGCGATGATGTTTTCCGTCGGGTGGCATGCCGTCGAGATGACGACGTCTGCAAACAGACGGTCCGCGTCGGCTCTCCCCTTGGGCCCGGCCCTCCTCGCGGGGCCGGCCGCCCGCCCTGCACTCAGCACACACAGCTGGCGTCCAGGGCGGGAGGCCAGCAGGGGCCCCGCCCAGACCCTGGCGAGGCAAGGGCTGCCCCATGGGCCAGAGGCATGCCGGCGCCGCTGCCAAGCTCGCAGTGTGGATGTCACACCCCCCACAACCTGGGCCAGAGCTGCCCCCGGACCAGCGTGGGCCCTGAGGCTCCGTGGGGCCGGCTCTGTGAGACCACCCAGAACGGGGACAGCAGATCCCGTCGTGAGCTGCCCTCAGCGTCAGGCAGGTCAGTGCGTAGGTAGCTTTTCAGGAAACGGGACCCCAGCATTTTCCTTCCGGCTGGGGTGGCCTCAAGTGAGCCTCCGAGCATCCTGCCCACTCAGAAGCCACAAGTCGACTGCGGAGGCTGAAGGCAAGGGGCAGGGGCAGGCCCTGCTCGCGGGGCACTTGTGCTCTTAGGGAGGTGTCGCCCTGGGCAGATCTCTAAGGGCTCCGCACTGCTGGCCCGAGCGCTGGGGAGGAGCATGGAGAGTGGGGCCCGGGAGGAGCCCGGGTCAACGGCGCCATCTCCACACGGGGCCCCGGCCACTCCCGGGAGGCCACGGGCCGCAGGGACTTCAGAGCTGGGCAGCCGGCTGCCGGGAAGGAGCGGTTAAAGCTGGAGCCAGACCGTCCCCCGACAGCCCCGCAAGGGGAGGCGTCAGACCATCCCCCACAGCTCTGCATCGGGAGGCGCCGCCCTGGCACCTGCAGATGAGGAGGGGCTCCCAGAGCAGCCGGGGTGGGTGTCCCGGGCGCCAGGCAGTGACGGTGGCAGCAGACGCCCCACTCACCTGTGTGGCCCTGAAGCTTCTGCACGATCTCCTTGGTCTGCAGGTTCCAAATGTAGACCAGGTTGTCCTCCGAGCCCGACACGATCCACTGGGTGCAGCAGAGGGCAGGGGTGCGGGGAGAGAGCCGGGTCAGGGCACCCGTGCGGCCGGACTACGCTCTGCACCCACGGCCCATGGCCCCAGCAGGGCGTGCAGCCCCCGGACTACTCGCAACCAGATGCCATCCCACCGCCTGCCACTCGCCTTGGGGTGGCTTCCGGGACATTGGCCGTCAATCACGGCCCAGCTGCTCGTCACAAAGCTCCTGTCTGAGCCTAAGGGTCGGGCAGGTGCCAGTGGGGCCCAGGCAGAGGGGGCAGGACATCCCTAAATGAGCAGTCTGCAGAGGGGGCCTTCACACTGGTTACACCCAGAAAACTCCCGCTTGTTCTGTGGGCGAGAGGACCAGGCTCGCCTGGAGGAGGGACCGGGGAGCCACTGGGCTGGCAGACGACTCACCTTCCCACCTGTGACGGAGAAGTTGGCGAATATGCAGTACTTCTCGTTCTTGTGGCCCGTGTACGTCTTCAGGCACTGAAATGGCCGGGGCCGCCGCTCAGTCACGGCTGCCCTGCGTCCCAGGTGACCCCCCCAGCCATGACTGGACGGCTCTGCGAGCACTGTGAGCCCCACAGCACAGCCCACCCCGGCCAAGCTTTAACCCGCATCGTGGGGACATCTGCACCAAACCAATGCCACAAAGTCACACTCTGCGCCATGCGGCCAGAGCCCAGGACCCTCGGGGGCCCCTTGCTGTGGTCACGCACCTTGCCTTTGCTGTAGTCCCAGAGCTTCAGCGTGCTGCAAGGCAGAAGGGGTGGGTCAGCGGCCCCGCCAGGCGTCCAGGCGCGAGGACGCCCGGGCGGAGCGTGGGAGCCCCAGGCACCTGTGGCTCAGCGGCTTTTTTTTATCAGAAGCTACTGAGTGTTAAGCCGATAAGGGATCCTCACTGTCTCTAAGAAGGGGCATGGGAAGCCCTGTACAGCACAGGTTTCAGCAACGGTCCATCCCCCTCCCAGGGGGCGGACCCTGCGAGCCCACCCGCATGCAGCCCACTGTGCACAGGAGGCCAAGCCCCAATGACCCCCAGGAGGCGGCTGACGGCCGGCAACCCCGCCCGCAGCTTGTCGGGGAGAAGCAGCGCGCCCGCTAGAGGCGGGAGCGCCACAAGGCCACCGTGCCCACCATCCCGCGGACAGGAGGGTCCCTGGTGACCAAGGAGCCGAGGACCTGAGCCCCAGCTGCACGGACAGGCCTCCAGTGTGGTCCCGGCAGGGAGGGGCGGTCCATGGCTGGGGCCTGGCTGCACACCCACCCCAGGCAGGCACGAAGCGCTTACTTGTCCAAGGTGGCGGCCAGGATGTATTTGCCGTTCGGAGAGAACTTCACGAAGGACACGGGAGGGTTGTCGTCATCTGCGTGGAGCACAGGCGTGGCTGCCACGGGGCTCCCCCGCCACCACCCAGCGGGGTCACCACCACACGTGCCCACGCTGCCACCGCCCACCACTCGTGCCAGCGCAAGAGCCGCTCCGCCCCGTGACCCCAGGACAGGAGAGCTTCGGGAACCAAGGCCCTGTGGCCAGTTGGCCTCAGGAGGCTGGGTCTTCAGCACTCTGGGGCCGTGTCCCCTCAGGGCACAGAGAAGGCCGCAGGGGGCCATCTCGCAGGGGGGCTCGCCCACACCCAGCTACCCTGAGGACGCAGCGGCCCCGCTGAATCGTGGCGGCCGTTCTCCTAAAGGTTACAGTGGATCAGTGCAGGTTCTCCCTGGAAACCACCTAGTGATATCACACCCACGCCCCCGCTCCTGACACTCGGGGTCCAGCACACCCCGGGGACCCTGGGGAGGCAGGTCGGAGCTGCTGGCTGGGCAGGGCTGGCCTGGGAGGCATGTGGCCCAGTGACCGCGCTGCCCCCTCCGGGGTAGGAGCCCCGAGTGCACCCTGGTGAGGGGCCACATGGCCCTGGGTCCCGAGCACTGGGGGCAGCCCACATGTTACCACCTCGGGGGGCCCAGGCCTGTGCCCCACGCGCGGGGGGCTGCTGCTCCCTCTGCCGGGTGGACACTGGAAAGGCACAGGGGGGCGCATGAGGGCCACCCCGCAGCTGGGACAGGCTCGTCCGAGGATGGCCTAAGGGCCTGGAGCCCCAGAGCCGAGGTCAGACGGGGCAGGATGCAGCTGCGGCTGTCTGCACCCTCGGGCCTCGGCTCCCGCCCAGCCGCGGGGCGGCCATGAGGAGGCCACGAGCTCAGGTAAGAGCCCTCACCCAGCCACAGGCACGAGGACACAGCACAATCGGGGTGCCCAGACCCGGGGCAACATCAGTCAGAGCTCGCAGGGCGAGAAAACCACAAAGGGCACCGTGGCCCTCCCCGACCAACCGCCCTAAGCCTGGGCCCATGGACCGCGCCTCAGAGGTGCGTTACGTCAGATGAGGCAGCTGGGCGGGCCACAGGGGTGCCCAAACCTATCTGACCAGCGTCCTGTGGCCTGCCGGAGGAGGAGGGGGGTGCCCACGGAGGGCTCGTGGGGAAGGCCACAGAGAGGCGGAGCCAGCCCTGCCCACACCCCGGCTGTGGGCTCTGGGCTCCAGGACATGAGGACAGCTTTCTGCTGCTGCAGCCACCATCCAGCCTGCAGAGTGCTGTGACAGCAGCAGGGCCACGCCTGCTCCCACGACAGCCCAGGGCCCACAGAGCCTGCCAACTCAGTCACCACGGCAGAGGCCTTCCATCAGGACTCAGAGATCAGCCTCACTGACAGTAGCCCCTCCCCGCCCCGAGGCCCTGGGGCCCCTCACCACGCTCTGGCCACACACACACACGCCCCCCTCGGCGGCACCACTGCCGCAAAGAGCGCACTGCCTTCCGGTTCGGTGCCACCCACCCCAGCAGAGCCCCATGCTGTCTGCAGAGACCCCGGAGCCCTCCCCCCAACCCCTGCACCCCCAGCAGATGGGGCTCGCTGAGGGCCCCAGCCAGGCTGGACGGCAGAGCTGAGCAGGAAGGAGCGAGGGGAGAAGGGACAGCAGGAGAGGAGGCGCCCCCGCAGGCCAGGCCCACTCACCGATGAGCGTCTTCAGGCACTGGCCCGAGGCGGTGTCCCAGATCCGACTGCAACGCAACAGGCACAGCGGTGACCACGGGGCCCGGGGCCCACTTCCCCACACACACGCTTCCCATCCTGACGCCTCGCTCACTCGCTCCGTCTCTCTCAGCACCACGGGGAGACAGCGGAGGAGGGCACGAGCGGCCCACTCCGCACCCATGGCCACCTGCCCGACCCGCACCCCCGCAGGCTTCTCCAGGCGCCGGCATGCCAAGCACGCAGCCCCGGGGGCAGCGCTTCTCGCACAAACAGTGCATCGCAGGCACCCGTCTGGATGGCCTCTGGTTTGGAGACAAGAGAGCCTGTTCTAAGAGCTGATACTCCCCGGCTGGACATGCAGGCATCACGTCAATCCAGCCTCAGTGCGTGTGCGGTTCCTGCCAGCACAACACCCCATGACCTAGAGATCAGCCTCGATCCACTTCTCACGCGATGATTTTCTCTTCTTGTCACATTAGCTGGAAATCCCAAGTTGCACTCAGTGATGAAGGAGACGGGGATGTGTGGACTGTCCACAGGCCACACACGACTCCTCACATGTAGCAGACACACGGCCTGCGGCAGTCAGCCCTGCCAGGCCCCAGGAGCCCTGCTGCAGAGCCGCCGCCGGCTGAGCGCGCTCGCGCACACCGGGTCCCACGCAGCCAGGCCCCCAGGCAGCCCCGGCTGGTCCTGACCCCCTCGGCCTCCTGCACCTCCACCTGCTCGCCCGTCTCGGCCCCTGCCGAGGCCCCGGCTCTGCCTCGTATCCGCCCGGCCCACCTACCCACCTCTCTCCCAAGCCTGCACCGACACACTCTGATTCATGTGTTTCTTGAAAACAAGCAGAGGGCTTCTGACCCACACCCAACGGCGTCTCCCGCGGGGCTCGGCCAGGCCCACTGCCGCAGCCGCGCACACTGCACGCTCCGGTCCTGCTGCAGTTTCTCACACACGCCACTTATGCTACTCTAGCTTCTCTGTTCCTGGTGCTAAACACGGACACATTTCTAGTGCCACCGTCTTTGTCTCCCATAGCTGGGAAGTCCCCTGTGGGCCATGAGCTCTCCAGTGACTGCTGTGACGCCACTCTGCGCACGCAGACACCTCCTGACGCTCTGCACATGTGCTGAGATCAGCTTAAAACATTCTCCCTACATCTCCCCGTACATCTGTGTCCACAGAGCACTTCCACTGCAAGCGTCAAGCCCACGGGCCTGACCTCAGACGCCGTGCTCTCGAGACAGTGCCCCCACCTCCCCTCCCCCACGCCCCCTGGGGTGGGACCTGCGCTCTCACCACCTGCTCAGGACCCTGACGTCCCCAGCGGGACACTCGAGGGTGCGCACGTCGGCACACCTTTCCCCCACCACCCGCACTGGGGCCACGCGCTTAGGACGCCCACCGTTCAGGGCCCACACGGAGCCTCGTCCGGGACAGCTGCACCTCCGCCACCCCACCCGCCCCACGGCCCCTGCCCAGGGAGCAGAGGCTTCCGCCGGACGCCCAGAGGCACAAACAGTGCGAGGGAAAGCCGTTACATGCTCGCTGGTTCAGTCAAGTGAGACTGTCACTTACCAGAGACCATCGTAGCTACTGGAAACTATCAAGGATCCGTCCCGATTAAAGTGGACCTGAGAACGAAGCAGAGGGAGGCAGGACTCACCCTGAGGCCAACACAGATGTGCATCACCGAACGGGCCCCTGAACACCGAGCCCACAAGGACGCAGATGGAGCAGCTCTGGCTCCTGACCTCCCGAGACCAACAGACGCACAAGCGACGTGGACGAAATGGTCGTTCTCACCTGGCGTCTCTTGCAAGCTTGTTTCCTGACGCAAGACTGAGCCACACAGAGAAAACCAACCGAGACGTCTGGAGTATTTCAACCATGGACTACAAAACGCACCGCAGAGAAGTAACAAACACGCGCACCCAGATGCCCTGCTCCGTGCACAGACCCAGCTGGCCGGAGCCGGTCTGTGGACGCAGACATGACGGTGCCCTGACCCCGGCTTCCATCCAGAGGGAAAAGTCAGGAGAGACGCCCTCTTGTGCAGACACTCGCGAGCTTTCACTCATGCGCGTACCCCTGCCCACCAAGCACCCCCCAGAACCACGAGACACCCAGATCACTGCTCTGAGTGCCCAGACACCGACCCCTGGGATACCTAAGCCAGCATGAGCTTTCCAGACAAAGTGGGAACACGATCCAGGCTGCTCCAAACTGTGTGGCTGGGATAAGGCGCAATCTCCAGGTGGGAGGCCAGCCTGGGCGGTCTCCACAGCAGTGACTTTACCCGAATGTCTGACCCTGCCCACGACAGGGACAGGCGAGACACATCTGATAAACAAGAGCCACCTGACCAGCCCCCTTCTCCTGACTGGTTGGTCTTTGGTTTGTCCTCTTTCTTTTTTCTGACTGACTCCTCTGCTGAGCAGAAAGAGCAATCAACGTCAGAAGTTCGAGGCCTGGGCAGGAAAAGCTGTCTGATGACAAGTGACCCCGGTGGAGACGCCACGCTCGCTGCCGCGTGTGGTGCCTGTCCATGAGAGGGCCCCCGAGAAGCCGCGTCTCGCCCACGCTCCCAGCAGAGGCCGGTCCACGGCCCAGGGCCCAGGACGGCGCTGTGTGCGCCCCTTCCACTTCTCAGCCACAGCAGCAGGGAAGTAACAGCTGAAACGAGCCTGATGTGTTTCATTTCACCTAGTGTCCCCTGGAGGGCACGGCAGCCCACTCCAGTATTCTTGCCTGGAGAATCCCACGGACAGAAGAGCCTGGTGGGCTAGTCCGTGAGGGTGCACAGTCAGACACAACTGAAGCGACTGAGCGCGCACACACACACACACACACACACGTCTGAAACACTTCAACACACGACCAGCGTCAGAAACCACCAGCGAGACACCTGACACCCTTCCGGTGCCGAGTCCTGGACGCCCGAGGCCCACGACCTCACGCTCCCACACACCTCAGATGCTGCCCGGGGGGCTGGGGGCTGCCGTGTGGACGACGTGGCCCGAGCAGCCGTGGTCGCTGGCCCCGCCGGCTCCCCCGTGGCACTGACAGCTACCTGCCCCCCCGCCCCATGTGCTCCTCAGCCTCCCAAAGCGCCTCTCTCACCAACTCGCAGCACCTGAGCTCATCACACGCAACCCTCTGAACCTGCACACTGTGAGCAGATGGAAACCCCTCGCAGGTGACGCTGCACCGGCCCAAAGCTCGCACCACGCTCCACCCTGTTCCTGACCACGTTCAGAGGGCACAGCCAGGCAATGCAGTGAGGGGTCCCTCTGCACCAGCACTGGGTGAGGGCAGGACAGCCAGAGTGCGGGCCACACACCAAACGGCATGCAGACCCGGGCTCTGCCAACACCCACCCATGGGTGCCGCGGCACGCGCGTCCCAGCCTGTTCGACAGAGCCGGGCTGCATCCCTCCACACAGCGAGAGCCGCCAGGCAGCATCCGTCGGGGGGACCAGCAGAAAGTGTCAACCGCCGGCAGGCACAGAGCCAGAAGGAGCCCAAGATCCTCACCCAAGTGGGGAAAGCTGGAGCAGGACACCCTGACTTGCAGCACCCCTCCCTCCAACAGGAGGGTGGAAAACACATATTTTAAAAACTGCAGCAAGCACCCTCCTTGCAGCCCCAGGCACAAGTCATGAGAGCAGGCCAGCAGGGCCGTGCCCAAGGGCCAGCACCACGCCAGGCGGCTTCAACCAGCTCACTCAGTGCAGTCGCTCAGGCATGTCTGACTCTCTGCGACCCCATGGACCTCAGCACGCCAGGCCTCCCTGTCCATCACCAACTCCCAGAGTTTACTCAGACTCATGTCAATCGAGTCAGTGATGCCATCCAGCCATCTCATCCTGTGTCGTCCCCTTCTCCTCCCACCTTCAATCTTTCCCAGCATCACGGTCTTTTCAAATGAATCAGCTTTTCGCATCAGGCAGCCAAAGTATTGGAGTTTCAGCTTCAACATCAGTCCTTCCAATGAACACCCAGGACTGATCTCCTTTAGGATGGACTGGTTGGATCTCCTTGCAGTCCAAGGGATGCTCAAGAGTCTTCTCCAACCCCACAGTTCAAAAGCATCAATTCTTCAGTGCTCGGCTTTCTTTATAGTCCAACTCTCACATCCATACATGACTACTGGAATAACCATAGCTTTGACTAGACGGACCTTTGTTGGCAAAGTAACGTCTCTGTTCTTTAATGTGCTGTCTAGGTCGGTCACAATTTTTCTTCCAAGGACCAAGCGTCTTTTAATTTCATGGCTGCAGTCACTATCTGCAGTGATTTCGGAGCCCAAGAAAATAAAGCCTGTCACTGTTTCCACCGTTTCCCCATCTGTTTGCCATGAAGTGATGCGACTGGATGCCATGATCTTAGTTTTCTCAGTGTTGAGATTTAAGCCAGCTTTTTCACTCTCCTCTTTCACTTTCATCAAAAGGCTCTTTAGTTCTTCTTCACTTTCTGACATAAGGGTGGTGTCATCTGCATATCTGAGGGTGAGGGTTCTCATGGCAATCTTGATTCCAGCTTGTGTTCCATCCAGCCCAGCATTTCCCATGATGCACTCTGCATGTAAGTTAAATAAGAGGGTGACAATAACCAGCTCATTACATGTCCCCAAAAGGTCAAGGCTCTGAGCACAGCATCAGCGGGACAAAGGCCTTCCACGGCGAAGAACGCTTAAAATCACTCACCTACAGGACTTCAGAACCTGAAAAGGACCAACCACTCAATAACAACAGACAACCTGTTTATACACGATTCCTTCTACTTTTTAAAAGTAGACTTTTTAAACTTGGCTAAGAAACGATTTCTGGCTCTTTGTTGACAAAGAGACACTTTGCCTAATTTGTACATGGAGCAGTTTATGACACGTGGGTAGTGTAACCCTTGCACACTCACCCCACGCACAGGGGAGCCCAGAATAGCCACTGTGGACCACGCAGGGAGGACACCTTCCCCCCACCTCCTCACAACTGGCCACCGCGACCCCGGGACGCTCCACCCGTCACCTCCACGCCACACTCAGGGCCTCGGTGGTCACACCTGCACCGCTCGGCCCTTGTAGACCCGGCTCCCTGCCTGCTCTGTGAGACCCCGTGCAGGGGCGCCTCCCCCCGCCCCCCGGGCACAGGTCCCTGAGCCCGGTCTCTGCCGTCAGGGCGGTGGCGGGACTCACGGCCGAGACGGGGTCTGAGTGGGCCGGCAAGGTCTTGAGGCACTTCCCTGTCTTCACGTCCCATATCCGCACGCTCTCGTCAAACTGCAGGTAGAGGGAGAGGTCGCGGCGGTTCCGCGGGGTGGAGCAGAGGGGATGGACCCCCGGCCCTGACCCCTCAACGAGCAGCCTGGGGAGGGCCCCCCGCCCAGGGGAGCCGCACACTTACAGAGCCCGAGACGATGAGGTTGGACTGGGGGTTGAAGTTACAGCAGAAGACGTAGTTGCTGTGTCCCTTCAGGGTTTTCAGACACTTTCCCTAAAATAACATCGTTCCTGGTGGTTGTTTCCCCAAATACCGGTGTCAGGTTGAACCCACCCCCCCAGCCCGCACAGCGGTAGAGCGCCTACGCCACTCCCCGGGGCTTACCGAGCTCACATCCCAGATCTTCAGGGTTTTGTCATCTGAGGCGGAAACAAGGAGGTTAGAATCTGACGACCAGGCCACGTCGGATATGCCCTGCGGGAGGAGACACACGGTCACTGCTTGACAAAATAGGACTAGCCAGCCAAAGTCAGACCCCCAACATCCAACTGAAGATAACCAGACGTCACGCCCTCAGCTCGGGAGGACTGCACAGATGGACCCACAGGCCAGGCCTGGAAGCCGGTTCCCTGGGGCTCTGCCAGGCCTGCAGTCAAGCACAAACGCACCTGAGGAGGTCAAAGCTGGGAGGCAGGTAACGACCTAAAAAACTGGAGAGAAGGCCCGCGCAGGGGGCCCGACCTTAACCTGACAGGTCTGGGAGTTGGGCACCCCCCACGCCCAGCAGCAGCTTCAGTCCAGGGGCGGAGACCTACCAGCTTGTGACCGGAGATGGTTTTCTCAAATTTCCCATCATATGCTCCCCAAATCTTAATGAGTTTGTCTGCAGCTGAAAGAAAGGAATGAGAGGCAATCAAGGTCTCCAGTCAACACCTGGGCTGCCCACAGCCGCGCCCGAGGAGCCGCGGTCCTCAGCCCCTGCCACCAGGCTCCCCTGACCGGCCCGATCCTGCAGTCTCAGCCAGCAGGTCACAGGGCGGGAGCACCTACACGAACTCGCCAGCCACTCCCCGTTTGGGCTGAACTTCACGGAGGACACAGCTTTCGTGTGACCGGCCAGGGTGAATTTAAGAGCGTAGTTTGGTTTCACCGGTGTGGGCTGTTAAAGAGAGAGTACTGGTCAGCAAACAGTCACCCCACTGCCCACTGATCGCCAGTATGGACATGATGCCCAAGGTGTAAGGTCAAGCTCTGAACGGTGCCTCCGAGAGCCCTCATCCGCCTTAACACACATGCCTGATCCTGAGCCTGGAATGCCCGCACCAGTCCTGCTTCTCCCGAAGCCCTGCCTCCCCCTCCCAGAAGCGCCCGCCCCCCTCCGTGCAGTTGGGAGCCCGAGCAGCATCAGCCCCCAACCCGTCCCGAGGTCCGCCTCCCCAAGCTCCGCTGAATCCTGCGCCCTTGGGCAGACCTGCCTGTTGCCTGTAGGCTACCTCCACAGGGAAGGGTGGGACTAGAGCTGGGGAGCTTAACAGGAGATGTTGTCTGTGTCCCACAGGGACTCTTATCATCAAGACCAAGGGTTGACAAAGTCCCCTCCCCAGGTGACAGGTGTGGCACCCCCAACACAGCCCATAAAAAGCACTGTCTGGGAATGTGGTTTGGAGTAAAAACCGACAATATTTCAGTGGGGAGGGAGAACAGGCTTTTGCGCTTAAAATAACATTCCCGAACGTCTCACAGCCTCCATGGCCCGGCGGTTCCCCGGGGCCCTTGGGGATGCACCTTGCTCTGTGTGGCAGAGGATGACGGGGTGGGCTGTGCTCGGGCGGCCTCCGTCTCCGGCTTCTTCTCCTCGGTCGCCATGGCTCTGCAGCGCCCCGGGCGGAGAGGTCACAGCCCCGAGTGGAGGACGCACCGTGGAAGGGTGTCTGCCGATCCAAGCCTGCAGCGGGGACAGGCCAACACACAAACCATGCTGCAAAGATGGATGCACTCAGGGACCCGCCGGGTGCTCCCGTGGTTAACAGTCTGCTTTTCCACAGCTGGGGCCACAGGCTTGATCCCTGATCAGGGAACTAAGACCCCATATGCCACATGGTCCAGCCAAAAATAAATAAACTTATAATATATTAAAAAGTTAACGTCCACAAAAAAGAACAAACGCGGGATGACCTTGCTGAGCCCTGCAGCAGGAGCTGTTCTGGACCACGGTCCTCTCCACCCACCTCCTCGCTAGTCCTTTTCAGACACTGCTGCTCTCGTCCCACCTGTGGATCAGAGGCCAGGACCCACCTTCGGGGGTGGTTCCTGCTTTGTTACCCACATGTCTGCAGGAACACAGCGAAGTCCAGGCAGACAAAAGGCAATTCTTTTCAAAGATCCCCTCATACACTTAAAACAAATCAGGGCTTCCCTGGTGGCTCAGTGGTAAAGAATTCGTCTGCCAATGCAGGAGTCACGGGTTCGATCCCTGGTCCAGGAAGAGCCATGGAACAACAAAGCCCACGCGCCACCACCCCTCAGCCTGCGCTCTAGAGCCCGGGAACCACAACTGCTGAGCTCACGTGTGGCCACTACTGGAGCACCTGAGAGTCCAAGCTCTGTAACAAGAGAAGCTCATGCAGCAAGACTTGGCAGTGCCAAAAATAAATAAATGTATTAATGATAATAGAAAAAGTAACTGAGGATCTCTTGATCAGGAAACAAACATGCTGAGCAACAGGAGCCAGAGCTGCAGGAACGCATCCAAGCCCCTGACAGCACCACAAGCGATGCTACCGAGCCAACAGCCACAACCGAGAGCAGGAGGCAGCCCCCGCGGCCCTCCTCCCGGGCTTCAAGGCCGCCGAGTGCAGGCGGCAGACACATGGCCACTTGAAGAACAAGAACAGCGAGAGGCTCTCTGTCCCCGGCGAGGTGGCGACCAGGCAGCTGGAAAGCACAGCCCAGAGCCAGCCTTGCCCATGGAGCCCCCACCGCCCGGCCTTCCTAGAAACCTTAGCCTGAAGCACACCCAGACACCCTGCAGGCCAGCTCACTGCAGAGGATGGCGAGACAGCAGCATGAAAACGGGAACCTGGGCAAAGCCACACAGCAAGAGCCTGGCTTCCCCATCCCAGGAGGACACGCCGTTACTGGGATACAGGGCACAGAAGCCAGGTGACTCTGAAACAAGGGAAGGCATTATTCCAGAGCAGAACCACCGCAACACCCCGCAAGCATCGCAGGCCATCCAAGTCCGGAAGCTGGCCCCACCGTGAGCCAAGAACTTCACACACTGTAAGTCCTAGCTCGGCGCTGAAAACTGAAGTCACACCAAGGCGGAATGGATGGAAGCCATCCAAAAGAGCACATCCCGTCTCCTCCAGGAGGAGGGGAGAGAAACCATCACACAACACAGCACTGCAGAGTGCCCGGCCAGCCACCTGCTGCAAGGATCGCGGCCCAGGGCCAGCGCAGGGGGCACCCAGAGCAGAGTGGGGGAGGCCAGGGGCTGGTCAGTAAACCCGCCCGGGGGCAAGGTGTGGGGCTCAGGAAGCGCTGGCTACTCAGTGAATGCCTTTAGTGCAACCAGGCCCCGCCAATGGACCTAAGTGCTGCCTTCCCCTGGGCGGGCAGACGAGCCAAGGCCCAGAGCGGGATGGTCTGTTTCACAGAAGCCGGCCCCTGAGGGAGCCAGACCACAGCTAGGGCTGACGGAGGGGAAGCCCAAAGCACGTCCACGCCAAACAAGGCTCTGTTTGGGATGGGAAGGGCAGCTCTGAGGCCTGAGCAGCTCCTGTTAGCATGGAAGCCAAGACCCCCAGGTGAGGTGAGGCTGACCCCTGCAAACCTGCTGCCCTCAGGTGAGGAGTAGGGATACACAGGGGGTCTCACAGAGAAGGTGCCTGACTCCTCCCAGCTCAACCGCTGCCCAACCTTCCACCAGCAAATCGTTAACGGAATGAAACAGCAGCGCAGGGAAATCCAGCCCAACCCTTACAATCACTTGACTCTTAACGTGTGGAGCCGGCCTCCAGAACAATTACCAGCAGACCCTTCTGGGCAGCCAGGTGAGCCTGACCATCCAAGGCTGAGCCAACCGACTTGGGGGGTAGAGTGCGCTCTTGGCCAACCGGTAAAATGCAAAACGCTGGGGGCTCCACCCCAGACACTGGGCCCCCGCCCGTGGGAAGAAAGAGGGGTCACGAGCCGCGGGAGAGCCAGGGAGCCCCGATCTCGGCACTCCACCGGGGTTCTCAGACGCGCCGGCTTACCTCTCTGCCACCTATGGAGCCTCGCCAACCTCGGAAGCAGTGTCTCCCTCAGGACCTGCCAGCGTCGACAGGGAACCTGGGCGGGAAGAAACGGGGTGAGAGGGCTCCGGGGAGCATCTTCCACACCCCCCAGAACGGCTCTCGCACACCAGGCTACAAGGGGTCTGAGGCTCCACCGTGGGAGAGCGGTGGGCTGTCCATGGCCGCGGGCAGCCCCGCGATCCCCGGAGCCCCGGGCCCTCCGGGGAGAAGGGGGCCCGGCTGCCTCGGGCAGGGGTCGGGGAGGGGGGGCGGCAGGCTGAGGTGGGGGCGTCTCTGCAGCTGAGGGCAGACCGGGCGCCGCACCCAGGCGCGGGTTGGCCCAGTGGGTCGGGGGTCTCTCTCTCTGGAAGCAAAGGGGGCGCCGTGCACGGCTGCGCTGGGGGGTCGTAGTCCCGGGGCCGGGGGGGCTCGTCACCTGACCGCTGGGGGCGGGGAGGCCCCCCGAGGCTCGGCGGTCTGGGCGGGTCCGTTCGCGGTGGGCTCGCGTCAGGGCAGAGGGCCGCCGGGGGCCCGGGGTCCGGCGGGGAGGAGGCGCGCGGCGCGGGCGCCCGGAGACGAGACGGCAGGCGCGGGGCGTCCGCACTGCGAGGCCCGACGGGGCTGGACCCGGGCCCGGCCCGGGCCGCCGGAACACGTGCGGCGGCGGCGGGCGCAGGGGGCGCCGGCGTCTGCCCCAGTCTCGCGCCCCCCGGGATGTGCCCGCCGGCCCGGTGGCCCCCGCTTACCTGCCGGGGGCGGTGGGGGGACCGAGGTGAGCGCTCCGGGCGTCGCGTCGGCCGCCGCCTGGGCGGGAGCCGGGCCGAGCTTGACTAGGCGGCTGGGCGGCAGTGCGCGTGCGCGTGCGCGGGGGGCGGAGGCGGACGGGGCGGGGCAAACGCACAAAGCCGGCCTCTCGGAAGGGAGCTACGGGAGGCGACGGGGAACAGAATGCCTCGTCCTGGCTCACCGCCTTAAAGGGACAGTGTGCTGCGCGCGCCCCCTGCTTTAAGGCGTTAACCCTAGTAGTGGCTCTTCGGAAAACACCTTGATGCTGGGAGAGATTGAAGGCGGGAGGAGAAGGGGACGACAGAGAGTGAAATGGTTGGATGGCATCACCGACTCAATGGACATGAGTTTGGGTAAATCCCGGCAGTTGGTGATGGACAGGGAGGCCTGGCCTGCTGCAGTCCATGGGGTCACAAAGAGTCGGACACGACTGAGCGACTGAACTGAACTGAACTGGTAGTGGCGAGTTCCGGTCCTTCTGCACCTTCTAAATACTGGAGTATGGTGATGCCTACAGGAAGTGCTTGCGCGCCCCTTGAGTGCAGCGGCGCCCCAGGGAGGAGCAGAGCTCCCCGTCCCGGGGATTCGCGGGGCGCTGGGGGGTCGCGTCTCTCCACCGCCGCCCAAGCCGGGGAGCGGCGGCCGCGTCCACAGCGGCCCCGGCGGTTCTCCGCGTGACATCTCCATTCATTTCGGGACACCCCTGTGAGGGGCCCTGGCCTTCCGACTTGGAAGAGAGGAACCTTGAGCTCCGAAAGGTTCAGAACCTGGACTCTGGGAGCTGCGCCCACCGGCTCCCCCGCAGGACCTGCGGCGGGGTCGGCGGGGCCGGCGGGGCCTTCCCGCCCCTGGGTCAAGAAAGCTGTCTCCTGAGCCCCCAGCGCGGAGATGCGAACTGTCCCTGCGTGCACGCTACTCTGGGGTCTCCAGGGTGATGGCCCAGACAGGTATTATTATCGCCTCCGGTTACAGATGGGGAAGGGGAGGCCCGGAGCGGAGGGCTCGGCAGCCTGAGGAGACCCGGGAGCCGATGTTCTGGCCCCAAATCCTGTGCATTCTCATCCCACTGCCCTGCTTCTACCACCCACGTGGGTCTTAGAATCATGGATGGTCTCTGGAGCCCCACGGCCCCAACCTGGGCCCTTGGATAGAATGACCTGCAGTATCTTATTTCCCAACTAAAAATGGGAACTCCGAATATGACCCAGGAACCCCTGCAAACAAAAGGATGGAGCATTTGAAATGGAAATGCCCAGGGAATATGAGTTGTGTGGTTGTCATAGATACAGAAGCCCTAACTGGCAGCTGGCTGGAGTCCAGCCCCTCCCAAGGAGGGTGCCAGGGCCGGTAAAGTCCCTGTCTGACCCTGCCTGGCCCAGAGAATCTGTGGCTACCAAAGGTAACAAAACCAGCTCTGGATGAAGAAGGGCATCTGCAGCCACCTGGCTGCCTGGGCCCAAAACGGAGCCCATTAGGAATACCCCTCCATCCCCGCTCAGACGGCTCTCCTAGCCATCCACTTCCCTGCCTCCCTACTTCAGTGCCGCCTCCCAGCTGGCCTTTTCCAAACCTCTCTGAAACACAATCCGAACTAAACTCTTGGGTCCAAATCGGGTCCAAATCCAGTCTCTGCTGGCAGGGGTTACCAGACTGGTCTCCATCCTGTAGCCTAGAGCCACCCCCAAACTGTGCACCCCAGATTCCAGCCCCAAGCTGAAAGTACTTCTAACTCGAGAACTCAGACTCAAACCAGGTTCCCAGGTAAATGGGTCTTGCATTCCTCTCCTCCCCACTGGCACCCTACCGCCCCCCCACCCCCTCCAGATAAAACCTTCCAGTGAAAATGAGAAAATCAATCTTCTAGATCTCTTGAGTGTTTTTGCAGTCCATCCAATGGTCATAGCTAAAATCCTGAGGCCAAATAGTGTATTGATAGCAGGTAAAGCAATTTAAACAAAGCAGGTGATCTGTTTATTGTCTTAAGTTTTAAATCCTTTTATACTCTTCCCAAAATGTGGTCAGACTCAGAAAAATCACAAGTGGAAATGGAAGAGAGGAATAAAAGATACAGAGGGAGAAAACATTTTGGAGCTTTGTTTCTTTTTTAGAACATTAACTGTGCTTTGGCCAGCAGCAACTAATTGGCCAATGAACCTGTTTCCATGAACAATTTTTATAAATAGAGCATGTCTCCGGGCTGCCCCCTCAGCCTGACAACACGAGCATGGCTGGGCACCCTCTCCGCTCACCTAGGCCCCTCCACCAGGCTGTCTTGCTCCGCAGGGCGCCCTTACCTCCCCCCACAGCCGAAGTCAGGGGTGGGGGCTCCCTCCCCTGACCCTCAAACCTAGCTAGTGAGTCTTCCTAGCTGTGTTTTCAAGGCTCCCGGCTCCTTCCCAGTGGAAACACTCATCTTTCCTTGTAATGCCTTGTTCAGTGTCTCCTGGCTGAGCTGAGTCAGGTTCCCTATCACAGCACTCTGGGGAAGTAGCCCAGATAAGAGGAGGGGAAGCACCTGTGTGGTTCATTCTTTAGTAAGTTTGTTACAATGTTGCCTCTCTGCAGTTCACAGCAAGCCAGAAGCAGGTTGCTTTATGGCTTTTCACAGTGCAGAAACTGAGGTTGAGAATAAGAGAGGCTGAGAAGCTACCCAAGGACACAGACAATCGGCACAACCACGGAACTCAGGACTGGGAAGGCAGAGGCCGCACTCCCGACCACCAGACTACGAAATGCACACTGAGTGGTCTTATCAGATGGATGGAAGGATGGGTAGATGGTGGAGGGTTGGGTGGACGTGGGTGGTTGGGTGGACGTGGGTGGTTGGGTGGACCCTGGGTGGTTGGGTGGACACTGGGTGGTTGGGTGGACACTGGGTGGTTGGGTGGACGTGGCTGGTTGGGTGGAAGGTGGGTGGATGGGTGGACGTGGGTGGTTGGGTTGACGTGGGTGGATGGGTGGACGTGGGTGGTTGGGTGGACATGGGTGGATGGATGGATGGTGGGTGGTTGGATGGACGTGGGTGGATGGATAGACGTGGGTGATTGGATGGACATGGGTGGATGGATGGACGTCGGTGGTTGGGTGGACGTGGGTGGATGGATGGACGCAGGTGATTGGATGGACGTGGGTGGATGGATGGACATGGGTGGTTGGGTGGGTGGTGGGTGGATGGATGGACGTGGGTGGTTGGATGGACGTGGGTGGATGGATGGACATGGGTGATTGGATGGACGTGGGTGGATGGATGGACGTGGGTGATTGGATGGACGTGGGTGGATGGATGGATGGTGGGTGGATGGATGGACGTGGGTGGTTGGGTGGACGTGGGTGGTTGGGTGGACGTGGGTGGATGGATGGACGTGGGTGGATGGATGGACGCTGGGTAGTTGGGTGGACGCTGGGTGGTTGGGTGGACATGGGTGGATGGATGGATGGTGGGTGGATGGATGGACGTGGGTGGATGGATGGACGTGGATGGTTGGGTGGACGTGGGTGGTTGGGTGGACGTGGGTGGATGGGTGGACGTGGGTGGATGGATGGACGCTGGGTAGTTGGGTGGACGCTGGGTGGTTGGGTGGACATGGGTGGATGGATGGACGGTGGGTGGATGGATGGACGTGGGTGGATGGATGGACGTGGGTGCATGGGTGGACGTGGGTGGATGGGTGGACGTGGATGGATGGATGGACGTGGGTGGATGGATGGATGTGGGTGGTTGGGTGGACGTGGGTGGATGGATGGACGTGGGTGGATGGATGGACGCTGGGTGGTTGGATGGACGTGGGTGGATGGATGGACATGGGTGATTGGATGGACGTGGGTGGATGGATGGACGTGGGTGATTGGATGGACGTGGGTGGATGGGTGGACGTGGGTGGATGGATGGACGTGGGTGGATGGATGGACGCTGGGTAGTTGGGTGGATGCTGGGTGGTTGGGTGGACATGGGTGGATGGATGGATGGTGGGTGGTTGGATGAACGTGGGTGGATGGATGGACGTGGGTGCATGGGTGGACGTGGGTGGATGGGTGGACGTGGGTGGATGGATGGACGCTGGGTAGTTGGGTGGACGCTGGGTGGTTGGGTGGATGTGGGTGGATGGATGGATGGTGGGTGGTTGGATGAACGTGGGTGGATGGATGGACGTGGGTGCATGGGTGGACGTGGGTGGATGGGTGGATGTGGGTGGATGGATGGACGCTGGGTAGTTGGGTGGACGCTGGGTGGTTGGGTGGATGTGGGTGGATGGATGGATGGTGGGTGGTTGGATGAACGTGGGTGGATGGATGGACGTGGGTGCATGGGTGGATGTGGGTGGATGGGTGGATGTGGGTGGATGGATGGACGTGGGTGGATGGATGGACGTGGGTGGTTGGATGGACCTGGTTGGATGGATGGACGTGGGTGCATGGGTGGACGTGGGTGGATGGGTGGATGTGGATGGATGGATGGATGTGGGTGGATGGATGGACGCTGGGTAGTTGGGTGGACGCTGGGTGGTTGGGTGGATGTGGGTGGATGGATGGATGGTGGGTGGTTGGATGAACGTGGGTGGATGGATGGACGTGGGTGCATGGGTGGACGTGGGTGGATGGGTGGATGTGGGTGGATGGATGGACGCTGGGTAGTTGGGTGGACGCTGGGTGGTTGGGTGGATGTGGGTGGATGGATGGATGGTGGGTGGTTGGATGAACGTGGGTGGATGGATGGACGTGGGTGCATGGGTGGATGTGGGTGGATGGGTGGATGTGGGTGGATGGATGGACGTGGGTGGATGGATGGACGTGGGTGGTTGGATGGACCTGGGTGGATGGATGGACGTGGGTGGATGGATGGATGGTGGGTGGTTGGGTGGACGTGGGTGGATGGATGGACGTGGGTGGTTGGGTGGATGGTGGCTCGCTGGATGGATTCATGGATGAATGGTAGGATGGATTAGAAGCAGGAAAGCAGGCTTTGCCGGCAGGAGCTGTCAGCCAGGGTCTATGGAAGTGGCAGAGCTGAAATTAAGAAATTACCTTCCTGGAGAAGTTGAAGCTTCGGGAAACCCATATTTTGTTCCCTAGTGATAAATCTTTCATCAGGCACAGAACTGATAGGACTTGCTGGGAGGCGACAGAGGAACCAGACCTGGCAGACATGGGTGGAGTGCTGGGTGCTCCCCACAGCAGGCAGCAGGCTGGGCGGGGAGCATCGGCTCTTTACCGGCCAGGCCCAAAACCTTGGATTACACGGCAGGTGACGAGGGAGGGTGGTGGAAGATGCTCAGGGCCCAGGGCCGCCAGGCGCAGCTCACCAGATTTCCCAACTGGAAGCCAGCCTCTGCTGGGCCACCATCCCAGGGAGCTGCTGACGCTGCCTGGACACCCCCAAGGCTCCTGCAGCCAAGGTCGGGGGAGCTTGTGTTAAAACTCCTTTTCCCCTAGTAACTCTGCCAGGGCAGCTGGTTTGGGAGACTCTGTCCCCCTTTCCCCTCCCTGACCTCCGCTCTCCCTTCCCCCGCAGCTCCCCACAGTCCATCAGGACAGGCGGTGATCCCATGATCCCTGCGGCCTGGTGGGCCTGCCGCTCTCAACCCTGATCTCCAGAGGCCATGTCTAGTCCTAACTGTGCCACCCTCTGCTTGCTCCCTGGGAGGTCCTCCTCCTCAGTTCCCAGGCACAGACAGAGCAGGTAAGACAGGAAGCCGCCAGCTCTTGAGATGGACTGTGGGGTTTCTCCTGATGTCTAATGTCAGGTTCCCTCCTTCCAATGGCCTTTGCCCGGTTTGGACCCCGACTCCACACCTCGTCCCTTGGCTCCCTTCTGCCACCCTCCACCCCCAGCTGGGAAGCGTCCCTTCATCACCTGCCCTCCAGGTCAGCCTTGTATGTTGTCCGCTCTGAGGAGACTGGCTGTCCAGTTTGCCTGGCACCGTCCTGTGTTAGAACTGAGAGCCCTCATCACCAGCACGACCCCACCTCTGTCACTCCTATGGGCTCAGAGGAGCAGGGAAGCCCGGCTGGGCTGAGACGCCTACTGGGAGGGGGCGTACTATGTGCTAGACCCTCAAACCAATGCTTTCGCTTTCACTTCCTGTTGGATTTAAACCCACCCTAACTAGTTTGGCTCAGCTGGTAAAGAATCCGCCTGCAATGTGGGAGACCTGGGTTCGATTCCTGGGTTGGGAAGAGCCCCTGGAGAAGGGAAAGGCCACCCACTCCAGTATTCTGGCCTGGAGAGTTCCATGGACTATACAGTCCATGGGGTCGCAAAGAGTCGGACCCCACTGAATGGAATAACTAGTTTGAAAGTCCCCAGTACTGAGCCCTGTGCCCTGAGCTCCAGGCCTGGGCATCTCTGGGCGGGCCCTCTGCAGGTGGAGCGGGGCGCTGCTGGCATCAGTCTGGCCTGGAGCCGGGCTGGGCGGGTCGCCCGCAGGAATCCCAGGAACGCAGCGCCTGCTTCCACAACCAGGCCCCACCTGTTCCAGTCCGCAAATGGTCTACACCCGCTCCCCCCACCTCTTGGCCCGGAGCTCCTCCTGTGGAGAGAGGTTCCTAGCCAGTGAGAAAGAAGCGGCTCTTGTGACAGGAGAGATGGAAATCAGAGACCCAGAGAGCCGGGAGATTTTTTTCAAAGGCTTTAGAGTATTTTTCCGGGTTGGCGGGTGGGGGTTGGGGTTGAGGGTGGCGGGGAGCGGGTGTGGATTGTGCAACAGCAGCATATGGGGCCATTTTTAAGGAATAGAAATCTGGCTGTTGGTTTCCCACCTGTTTCCCCGTCATGTCAAGCTATTTCCATCTGTCTGTGTTATAAAACCCGCTGCAGCTGCCCTTCCTGGGCGCCTACTGTATGCTCGTCTGAGGATCATGAACACGGTCTCAAACCCCGAACGTGCTGGTAAACTGTTCTGATTTTCACTGATAAGGAAGACGGAGGTTCAGAGAGTCCCAAGGCCAAAGTGGACGGCAAAGCTGGGGCTCGACCGGCCCTCGGCCTGGCGTCCACGGCGCGTCCCTCTTCCACGCGCAGACGCGATTTCCCCGCGGCTGGACGCACAGCCGCCTTGCAGCCAGCACTCGGGCCAGGCGCCGTCTCGGGCTTCTCCCGCGCCGCCCCTCAAGGCGCCCTTGATCCGGTTCTCACGGCCGCGCTTGGGTCGTTGCCAAGGTTTCATGTCTGCAGCCTGTTTCCGTGGGCCAAGATCCAGGAGCCCAGTTGGGTCGCAAGATGGGAACATTCTCGGTGGGACACGTAACCCAGGAAAAGGGTGCCCTCCGTGTGGGTGAGCCAGGGTGCCGACCGGAGGTGTGCCTCTCGCCCAGGGGCTAGAGGGGACCCAGGGCAGCGGCAGGGCGCGCGGAAGCCAGGCAGACCCAGCACCCGCCTCGCTGGGTTTCCCACGGCTCGCTGAGAATTCCCTGACGAGGAGCAACCAGCCTAAAATAGAAAAGCTGACACAGGGGAAACGCCAGGGGCCGAAGTCTGTGCCCAGGCGGTCTTGCTGCAACCGCTCTCCCAGGGAGTCTGTCCGCTTGCCTCCATCCTCAGGGTCTTTAAATCCCCCTGCAAACAGCTTATGGCCTGGCATTTGCAGGGACCAGGGACGTGGACAAGACTGGCCGGCCTCTACACTTCCTTGCCTGTCTTCTTCTGTGAGCCCGGCCTCAGGGATGAAACCAGAGGCAGGGAGGGCCGCCTGGCCACGCCCAGACCCTTCGCAAGAGCTTCCAGCCCCCAGCAGAAGGGACAGGCGTTCCCCAGCTGTGGCCTTGCTCTGGGAAGTTGGAGCAGGCTGGAAATTGGGGCCGTTTGGTTCTGTCTGGGGCAGAGGAAGTGGGGTGTGGATGTTCTGGCTAGTTCTAATCCCAGACCGTAACTTAAGTAGAAGCTGTCCAGAGGAGGGACTGCAAGGGTGGGGTGCCATTTAAATAAGAAGCAGTGATGCCTAAAGGCCCAGGGAAGAATGGACCTTAGTGCCACGTGAGAGCACAGACCCCTTAGGGGAAATCATTCTCTCCCAAACAGCTGCAGGAGTCGCAGGCTGCCAGAGGATGTTCACGACAACAGTTTTTTGTTTTTTGTTTTTTCTATTTTGGCTGTATGGCTTTTGAGATCTTAGTTCTCTGACCAGGGGTCCAACCTGAGCCCCCACAGTAGAAGTGCAGAGTCCTTCCACTGGACCACCAAGGAAGTCCCCTGGCAACATTATTTACAATGATGAAAATACTTGGAGACAACGTAAACGTCCATCTCTGAGGGAAGAGGCGAATCAGTCATGTTCTTGTTCACTTGCTAAACTGTGTCCGACTCTTTGCGACCCCGTGGACTGCAGCACGCCAGGCCTCCCTGTCCATCACCAGCTCCCAGAGTTTACTCAAACTCATGTCCATCGAGTTGGTGATGCCATCCAACCACCTCATCCTCTGTCGGCCCCTCTCCTCCTGCCCTCAGTCTTTCCCAGCATCAGGGTCTTTTCCAATAAGTCAGTTCTTTGCATCAGGTGGCCAAAGTATTGGAGCTTCAGCTTCAGCATCAGTCCTTCCAATGAATATTCAAGGTTGATTTCTTTTAGGATGAACTGATTTGATCTCCTTGCTGTCCAAGGGACTCTCAAGAGTCTTCTCCATGGTACACTGCTTCCTGGAACATTCTGTAAACTCCAAAGGAATGAGGTAGCTGGGGCGTCGTGCCTGGGGGACAGCCACACACGGGGAGAAAGAGAACCTGCATCAGACAACACAAGCTCTGTGAGGGGAGAGACTGAGGAAGGGTGGCCCCGGCTCCGGAGGACTCACCTCTGTGATAGGTGCCGGGGATGGGGGAACGAGGCAGCATCCTTCCGTTTCCCTTTTATGCCCCTGAGATTCTCCCAGTTGATGTCCTATGCGATTAAACAGAGTAATAATGGGTCTCGTTCATTTCCACAGTAGGAGAATAACGCATGCTTTAGCTAGGCCACTGCAAACATCTCTCCCTCCATCCAGCCCATTCCCTGGCCCCCTCTCACCCACCAGCACCCCTGAAACGGACCCACGTACCCCGTGCTGCCAGGAGCCATGGACGTGATGCTGGCCCCGTAGGGCCCCTGCTCTGAGGAGCCCTCCTGGCCAGACCCACAGGCCAGTGGTCCCAGAACATGGTTCCAGATTATAGAATGGGCTTCTCGTGGGTTGGTGGAAAGTCAAGGAGGCCTTTCCAGATGGTGTGAGACCAGAGGTACCCAAGGGGAGGGGCTGCCCTGCAAATGGGATGCAGGCTTGCGGGCCAGGGGGCAAAGTGGGGAGGGCGTGGAGAACAGGCCACGTAAACAAAGGCCAGTGACTTGGAGGCTCAAAGGGGCGAGGCTGGAGCAGTCAGTGGGGCCCAGCCCACAAGCTGCGGAGAGCCGGGCCGAGGAGGCAGAAGGGGAAGAGCTCAGAGCCTCCTGCAGCTCAAGGCAGGGAGGCCAGCCTGCAGTCCTCACACCTGGGGTCACTCCTGGCCTGCAGAAGGTCCAGAAGACAAAAGGATGAGGGAAACCAAGCCTCCGGGGGCAGCAGCAGGAATGGGGCTGGGAGCAGGGCTCCAGGCTCAGGCCGGGGCCCCAGAGGCTGGCTGGGTCGCCCAGAGGAGCCTGGACAACTGCCCTGTGGGTTCTGCCCCCTCTCCTCAAAGTGGGGCCGGACTCACCTCGCAGAGCTGCTGTGCGAACAGAGCCACTGTGAGCCTGAGACCGCTGCCCGGCCCCCAGTGGGGAGGGGGCCTGAGCCTCGCTGGGAAATGTGGGAGAAGGAGGCAGCTGCCTGGCCCCTAGAGGGGTAGGAAGCCCGAGCCTCTCTGGGAAACTCGGGAGGAGGCAGGCCTGGGCTGCGCCTGCTGGTTTGGTGGTGCTGGATTCTCTCAGCTTTCGCTCATTACCTGCAAACCTTGAGATTTCTCCATCAAATCTGAATGAGAGTATTGCTAGGTAGTGTATTCTTGGTTGCAGGTTCTTCCTTTTTATCACTCTAAGTGTATCACAGGATTCCTTTGTATATTATTTGTCACTCTTGCCTTGCAGGGAATAAACACTTTATTTTTGCCTCTAATTCTTGTCAGCAGGATGACGATGTGTCTCGGTGTATTTCTCCTTGGGTTTATCCTGCCTGGGATTCTCTGTGCTTCCTGGGCTCATCTGACTGTTTCCTTTCACATGCTAGGGACGTCTTTAGCTATTAGCTCTTCAAACATTTTCTCAAATCCTTTCTCTCTCTCTTCTCCTTCTGGGGTCCATATCGCGCGAATGTTAGTGTGTTTAATGTTGTCCGATCAATGGACCTGAGTTTGAGCGAGCTCTGGGAGGTGGTGAGGGACAGGACAGCCTAGTGTCCTTCAGTCTGAGGGCGCATAAAGAGTCGGACACACAACAACAGAGGTCTCCTAGGCTGTCTTCATTCCTTTTCTCGTCTGTTTTTGTATGTTCTGTTTGTAACAGTGATTTTGAGTCTTCTGTATTCCAGGCCACTTATTCATTACTCTGCTATTGATTCCCTCTAGTGTATCGTTCAGACATGACTGAGCAACTGAGCAGTGTGTTGTTCATCTCTGTTTGTTTGCTCTTTAGGTCTTTGGTTAACATCTCTTGTATATTCTCTGATCTTTTTCTGAGATCCTGGATCATCTTCACTCTCATTATTCGGAGTTCTTTTTCTGGAATGTTGCCCATTTCCACTTTATTTAGTTGTTTTTCTCGAATTTTATCTTGTCGCTTCATCTGTGACATAATCCTCTGCCCTTTCATTTTGGTTAACTTTCTGTGATGTGGTTTTCGTGCCGGATTCTAGTTCCTCTCGCTTCTTCTGACTGTCCTCTGGTGGATGAAGCTAAGAGGCTTGTGTAAGCTTCCTGATGGGAGGGACTGGCAGTGGGGAGGACTGGGTCTTACTCTGGTGGGAAGGGCCATGCTCGGTAAGCCTTTAATCCAATGGATGGGGCTCATTCCCTCCCTGTTAGTGGTCTGGGCTGAGGTGACCCAGCCCTGGAGTCTGCAGGCTCTATAGTAGGGTTCATGGCAAGCTCCAAGAGGGCTTATGCCAAGGAGAAGCTCCCAGGATTGCTGCCACCCGTGCCCCTTCCCTGCAGCGAGCCACTGCCAGCCCACACACCTCCACAGGAGATGCTCCAACTCCAGCAGGCAGAGCTGGTTCAGTCTCCCGGGGGGCATTGCTCCTTTCCCCCGGGTCCTGGCGTGTGCGAGACTTTGTTCGTGACCTCTAAGAGTAGAGTCTGTTCCCCTCAGTCCTGTGGAAGTCCTGTAATCAAATCCCGCTGGCCTTCAGTTAGATTCCCTGGGGATTCCTGGTGTCTTTGCCCCGTCCCCAGGCTGGAGAGCTTGATGTGGGGCTCAGAACCTTCACGACAGCGGGAGAACCTCTTTGGTGCCACTGTTCTCCGGCTTCCGTGGTAGCTGGGGCTTCCCTGGTGGCTCAGCTGGTAAAGACTCCGCCTGCAATGTGGGAGGCCTGGGTTCAATCCCTGGGTCGGGAAGATCCCCTGAGAAGGGATAGGCTACCCCACTCCAGAATTCTGCCTGAGAATTCCATGGACTGTATAGTCCCTGGGGTTGCAAAGAGTCGGACACGACAGAGAAACTTTCACTTTACCTGGTGGGTCAGGGGTTGAATTTTATCATGATTGTGTCCCCCATACCACCCTGTTGCAGCCTCTCTGCTTCCGGGTGTGGGGTATCTTTTTTAGGGGGCTCAGGCACTGTCTTGTCGATGCTTGTTCAACAGCTGGCTGTGATCCTGGTGCTGTCACAGAGGGAGATGAACCCGTGTCCTTCCACTCTGCCATCTTCGCCCGGTTTTTCTCTCTTTACATGCTTTTCTGAAAAGTATCTTAAGAGTTTTTAGTGTTTCATTTTCATTTATCAGCTGGATTTTCTGCCTAATGTGTTGTGTCTGTATAGTTTTTAGTGGCTTCTCTAGTGGTTAAAATAAGTATATTTCTAAATTTATTCCACGGTCTGCATCATATTACTACTTGGTCATTTCAGGTAAAATATGGAAACCCTGCCAGCATATTGATCCCTACATCCACTTGCCATTGGGTTGCAGTTGCCATGTGTTAGATCTAAGGACACAGAAAACTCCCATGAGAAAATGTAATGATTTTTCCTTCAACCATCGCATGTATTTTTTAAAACTTAAAAGAACAAAAATAGCCTATTTTCCTAGGTATTTGCAATTCCCAAGTCGCATTCTCCATTCTTGGCATTTTCAAATTTCCCTCTTGCTTCATTTCCCTCCTTCTGAGAACATCTCTTAAAAGCATGTCTGCTGGTCATAAATTCTTGCAGTTGTCCTTTGTATGAGCAGATCTTTATGCTTCTTGAAGGATCTTTTGTGCTGGATTCTCTTATTTCACTCTAAAAGTGCTGTCCCACTTCCTTCCGGCCTCCATACTTTTGAATGAGAAATCTGATGTCATTCAGTTTCTTTTCAATACTTTTTGATAAGCTTTATCTCTATCCAACTGCTCTAAAGAGTTTCTTTCTTTGTCTTCAATATTTGGCAGTTTGACTATGACATGTCTTGGTGCGGGTTTGTTCTAGTTTAAATCTAGTTTTGGCTCACTCAGCTTCTTGAATCTCCAGGTAGGCTTGGATCTTTTTCTGGATTTGGGGGTTATCTGCCATTTTTTCTCTTTGAGCACTTTTCTACCTCTGCTCTCTCTCCCCGCCCCCCCACCAGCAGATTTTCTCTCTGTTGTTCAGCATGGATGATTCCTACTGTTCTCTTTTTCTTTTCTCCTCTCGCCCATCTCCTCTGATGTTGAGCCCGTCCCCTGAGCTTTAATTTTCAGCTATTGTGTTTTTCAATCCTGAAATTCCCACTTGGTTCTTCTTTACGTATTCTCTTTCTTTTCTGAGACTTTTTCTTTCCTTGTTTTAGGGCTGTTCACCATTATTCAAAACAGCCTTTTCATGTTAGCTGATTTAAAATACTTTTCAGATAATTTTAAGATCTCTGTCATTTCGATGTTGGCATCTATTGATTGTGTTTTTTTCATTTAGTTTGGGATCTCTCTGGCTCTAGATATGACCAGTGATTTTTCAACTGAAGCTGGACATTTTCGGTATTACGCTATGAGTTTGGGGTCTTTCTTGAGCCTGTTTGCAGTAGCTTCCTCTGACACTGGTCCAGCGAGGAAATGAGGTAAGGGGCCCTGCCTCCCTGTGGCTGCCAAGCGGGATAGAAGCCCAGCCCTCACCTGAAGGCAGTGGTCCTTGTTAGCGCCGGGGAGGGCAGGGGTTCCAGCCCCTAGTGGGCCTCGACCGACACCTCCCCAGCTGGACAGGGTAGGAATGTCTCATCGCTGCCCTAAGCATGGCCTCCGGGGACGCTGTGGCCACTGGAGGTTCCCACCCAGCTGAGGTGGAGCTCCCAGCTCCTTAACTGTGTTTCTCTGACACCACACCAGCATCGTAGGGGGCTGTGGGGGCAGGGTCAGATGCTCCACACAGCCCGGGGAGGGGGAAGTCGTCCTCCCACCCAGCTTTTGCTGGCCCGAGCGGGGTGGAACCACAGCGCCTTCTGGGGTGCTGGGCTACAGAAGAGTTGTTACTGCCTAAAAGTTTTCCGTCTTGCCAGGCTGCCGCTCAATAGAGCAGGTTTTTGTTGGACTTTGTGTCTGGTACCCCTGTTTCTTTCCAGGCTGGCTTCTCAGCTGTAAGAGGGAAAAGGGAACCCCGGGGAGCTCACCACCGTGGCATTCCATCTTCCTAGAAGCAGAAGCCATTTAGATTTGGTGAGACCCAACAAGCAGGCCTCTCAGAGTGTGGCTTGCTCATCCTGAACTAGGAAACAGTACACCCCGAGTCTGCTCTAGAAAGAGAAATGCAGAGATGGGCTTGGGACCGACCAATGTCCCCGTGCCTGCCTGTTGTAGTCAGTCAATGTTGGATGGATGGATGAAAGGATGGATGAACAGAATACGGTAAGTCAAAGTGAAAAGTCACTCAGTCCTGTCCGACTCTCTGCGACCCTTTGGACTGCAGCCCGTCGGGCTCCTCTGTCCATGGACTTCTCCAGGCCAGAATACTGGAGTGGGTAACCGTCCCCCTCTCCAGGGGGTCTTCCCCACCCAGAGGATGGAACCCAGGTCTCCCGCATTGCAGGCGGATTCTTTACCGTCTGAACCACCAGGGGAGCCAAGCGAACGTTCAAGCTGAGAACCCCGACAGGCGTGACCTTCTGCTCTCAGGTCCGGTGGAAGTTAGCTCACTCGGTGCCATCACACACTGCCACCCGCCCCCTTCTCTAAGGCGGCCGGCTCTGAGCGCGTTACTGAGCAGCATTCTTTGTGTCAGGCCCAGGATGTCTACAGGCAAGCGTACAAGCAGCGGTGGCGATGCTGGTACTGCTGAGACGTGCCGAGAGATACCAGTGGAAACAGAAGTGAAAATAATTGAGAGAGTGGATTGAGGCAAAAAGAGGAGAGACATCGCTCATTCTTAGAACATAGATCATTCAACCACTGGCATGATTCTAAAGAACAAGGGCCAGATCATGGAACAGGTGAACTCTGCTGTGCTAACGATGTCGACAACAATACTGAAGAAGCGTGGAAGAGTAATGGAGGAGATGGAGAAACTTCTCAGTGGGTGGAGGCCATAGCATCAGCTTCCAGTCCTGCTCAGCTTAGTGCTGATTCAAGAGAAAGCGAAAAGCCTTCACAAAGACTTGAAGAAGAAACACAGTGAAGAATGAGGGAATGAATCTTTTAAGGCCAGCCATGGCTGCTGTCATCAGTTCAAAGCTAGAGTCAACCTTCATGATGTAAAAGTAAGTGAATGCATTTGCAGCCCCTGCCTGGGAATCTCCTGAAATGCTTTGAGAAATTGTTGAGAAAGCGCATATGGACTGGAGCAGGCTTTTCACTGTGGATGAGCCAGGACTGTACTGGAAGACGACGCCAGACCAAAGGTCCACCAGTAAGGAGGAAACACTGATGCCAGCCTCTAAGGGAGGAAAGGGTAGACTCACTCTGTTGTTTGGTGGCAATGCTTCCAGTGATACGAACCTGAAGCCTCTCTCAGTTTATCATTCAGAGAACCCAAGAGCCCTTAGAAAGAAACACAGCCACGGGCTCCCTTCCTGCTGTGTAGACGAGTAACCCCAAAGTCCGAGTTACACCGGCCATTTTCCAGGGCTGATTTTTCCACCACTTAGAGAAATATTGTTTGGAGAAGGACGTCCCTCTCAACATTCATGTGCTGCTTGACAATGCTCCAGGCCGCATCCCACTCATGCACGTCTTTTATCTCAGCCTCGAAGTAGTGCCATCTGCCACTGAAGACTGTGTCGCTCATCCAAATAATCAACCAGGGAGTTACAGCGACATCCTAGTTATTTACATCACACGTTTTGTCAGGCAGTAAAAGCAAGTGATAAATCAGGAAAGACCTGGTGACAATTTTGGAAGGATTATAACATCTACAAGGCCTTCCCTGGTGGCTCAATGGCAAAGAATCTTCCTGCCAATGCAGGAGACACGGGTTTGGTCCCTGGGTCAGTAAGATTCTCTGAAGAAGGAAATGGCAACCCACTTCAGTATTCCTGCCCGGAAAATCCCATGGACAGAAGGGCCTGGCGGGCTACCGTCCAGAGCTGGAGCAACTTGAGCAAATCGACAAACAAGGGATATAGCATCGGATTATGACGCAGAATATAAAATAGACGTGCGTGAGTCCATACGGATAGAAAGAACTGACTGGATGAACGGGAGAGGGGAGACAGCAGCCCAGATCGTCTGTGCAGCTACCACCCCCTCCAGCAGGGGACGTTCAGCCCTCTGCCCCCTCAGGGTGGAAGGTGCTTTGTGATGTACTTGGAAAGACGCGGCCTCAGGCCGCGACAGACAGCGTGGAGCAGGACGGATGGGATGAGATGCCTGTCCACCCTGCAGGCTCTTTTCAAAACCCATAACCCCAGACTCATCGCGAAAACAGCAGACCATCCCAGACTCTCTGCAAAACACCTCGCCAGCCGGAGCTTCTCCAAACTGCTGGTCACAAGAAACAGGAGGAGGCTGGAAACCACCTCCCACCCATCTCAGGGGGGAGGAGGCTGACGCTGGAGTCCAGGGGGCTTCCAGGAATTCTGAACAAGGACGAGGCCAGCCTGTGCCAAGGGTGCCCCCGTGGCTTTGTGGGGGGGGGTGCTTCGAGCTGTGTAAGGCAGGAGGGAGGGGTAACTAGGAGAAGGGTCTACACTCTCTGCGCCATCGGAACGTCTCTGTAAATCTGACACCATCCCGAAACGTAAGCTTATTTTTAAAGAGAATGGGAGTGTGACCCCTGTTTGGCCAGCAGGATCGCAGCGGACCGGGGGCGCGGGGCACCAGAGGCAGGCGGCTGCCCTGCTCCGGCGCTCCATCTGTGCCCGGGCGGCATTGCCGCCCCACCCGCCCGCGGGTGCTGGGGAGCCGGGCGGGGCTGGGGCTCCTTCTGCCAGGCTCTGGGGTCACAGTGACTGTCCACCGCCCACACTCCGTGCCCCGCTCTCTGTCCTGCTTATTGGCCTGGGGTCCCCACACCCCTGCAGCCCCTGCAGATGCCTGGTGTTGTGTGCGGACCGTGGGCAGGGCAGCTGGCCCGGCTCTGACACCTACCGATGCACACGCAGCACTAGCCTCGGTGGCTCAGCTGTGCGGCGGGTCAGCAGCGGCCCCGAGCCGGGTGGCCGCGCAGGTTCCGGGGCTGGAGCCGGGAGGTGCCGCTGCAACTGGGCGGTCTGGCCCCGCGTGGAGTGCAGGTTATGGGGAGCACCCCGGCTCCCGGAAGGAGAGGCAGGGGCGGGGTCCCCCTTCACCTTCTGCCCCCCACACTTACTTTCCACTCTGTCCTGAAGCTTTTAGGAAGATGACGCCACCCCTCCCACTGTTTCAGAGAAGGTTCCACCAGGCAGTACTGCCCATGCCCCGCAAACGCAGAGACGCGTGGAGCGGGAGGGGAGAGAGTGTAGAGAGACCAACAGCCATTCATCTTGCTGCTTAAGAAAAAGCAGGAGCAAGCGTCGTCGTTCAAAAAGATACTGCACCCTGTGTTCACTGCTGCAGCATGAGCAGCAAGCAAGACACGGAGCAAACTAGACGTTCACCCACAGAGGACGGATGAAGATGCGGCAAGGAGTCCCCGGCGGCCCAGCTTTTGGGGTTCCAGGCTTTCACAGCCGTGGCCCGGGTTCAGTCCCTGGTGGGCGGCCTGAGATCCCACAAGCCACACAGCAGAGCGGAGAAAAAGAGATGTGGTACATATATATGATGGACTATTATTCAGCCATAGAAAAGAGTAAAACAATGCTATTTGCAGCGACATGGATGGACCCAGAGATCATCAGCCTAAGTGAAGTAAGTCAAAGACAAATATTTTAATATGACATCACTTATATGTGGAATCTAAAATATGACACAAATGAACTTAATCTATGAAACAGAAATAGACTCACAGACACAGAGAACAGACCGGTGGTTGCCAAGGGGAGGGAAGTGGGAGAGGGATGGGTTGGGAGTCCGGGGTTAGCAGGCGCCAGCCATTCCTTATAGAGAGGATAAGCCCAAGGTCCTACTGCATAGTACAGGGCATTGCGCTCAATATCCTGTGCTAAACCACAGTGGAAAGAGTGTGAAAAATAGTACATGTATATACACACACACAGCTGAATCAGTTTGTTGTAAATTGTTCAGTTCAGCTCAGTCGCTCAGTCGTGTCCGACTCTGTGACCCCATGGACCGCAGCACTCCAGGCCTCCCTGTCCATCACCAACTCCCGGAGCTTACTCAAACCCATGTCCATTGAGTCGGTGATGCCATCCAACCATCTCATCCTCTGTCGTCCCCTTCTCCTCCCGCCCTCAATCTTGCCCAGGATGAGGGTCTTTTCAAATGAGTCAGCTCTTTGCATCAGGTGGCGAATGTATTGGAGTTTCAGCTTCAACATCAGTCCTTCCAATGAACAGTCAGAACTCATCTCCTTTAGGATGGACTGGTATAAATTGCAACACAATGATTGACAGCCCATGTCCGGGAACACCGCTCCGAACCCCCTCCCCTGCCCCACCCTCCTGCCCAAGCAGCATGTGGGGTGTGCACGCATGCAATGGAGAATCACTTCTCTTCTTGTGTAAGGTGATGGTCTGCGAGCTTCCCACCTTGTGGCTGTTATTTTGGCAGTTACCCTGGCATTTTGAAGACTGACCTTCTTGAAGGTGAAAGTGGCTCTCTTCCATCCTCCCGAATGTGGAGAGAACTCAGAACGCTCTGGTCTCACCCCCCGCCGCCCCCAAGCCCCTCTTCTTAGATGACTTGGGTTCACATCAGCTTCCAGGGAGAGAAGCCCAAACACCACACGTTAGACAAAACTGGGCTCTCCTTCTCTGCTGTGGAAACAGTCTGGGGAAAGTGGTCAGGGCTGGGTGGATGGGGGCGCTCCTGCAGACGGCAGGACAAGGGTACCGTGTGCCCCCGCGCAGGGGGAGCACGGGCATTTGACATCAACCCGCCGTCCACCCTGCAGTCCACGCTCAGCGACGGTCACCCACAAGTTATCAACTCCCTGGCTCACCATCGCTCGCAGTGGCCCCCAGCCCTCTGGGTTCAGTGTCCTCTCACTGGAGTGTACCCGCGTGGTCTGAGCGAGGCCTGTCGTGCTGAGGGCTCTTGCATCAGTCTGCACAAGCCTCTGCCCCGTGAGCGGCAAGAGGTTGACTGCTGTGCCCTCTGTAGGCGGCTCTCCAGTGTCTCCATCACGACCCCCTGGAGCCCTGCCCTGCTCCTCTGTAGGTGAGCCTTCCTTCTCGCCGGCTGTTGTCTCTTTTATCTGACTGCTCCCTGCACCCTGCCCTCCTCCTCCTCCTCACCACAGCCAGTCTCTCCAGGGCCCCCTGGCTTCTGAAGAGCCAGGCTCCAGACCAGAGAGAGGCATCTCCCGTGGGTGGAGACACCCCCATCCCTTTCTGCATCCTCCCTGTCAACCAGCCATCCAAACAAGGGTCCGCCAGTAGCTTTCCAACATTCTTACTGTCGAGGTAAAATTTGCCATCTTAAAGTAAATGCGTGCGTGGGAGTGTGCTAAGTCGCTTCAGTTGTGTCCAAGTCTTTGCGATCCTATGGACTGCAGCCCAGCAGCGTCCTCTGTCCCCGGGACTCTCTAGGCGAAGATACTAGGGTGGGTTGCCATGCCTTCTTCCAGAGGATCATCCCCACCCAGGGCTTGAACCTGGGTCTCCTGAAACTCCTGCATTGCAGGGTGTTCCTTTACCTCTGAGCCGCAGGGGATGCCATAAAGTGAATGACCTCTACCTAATCCAGGTGCATGTTCATTACCCCAAAGAACCCCCCACCCAGTAAGGAGTCACTCCCCTCCCCATTCCCACCAGCCCATGGCAACCCCTAACCTACTTTCTGTCTCTATGGATTCACCTACTATGGATGTTTCGTATCAATTAAATCCTACAATAAGTGATCTTTCATTTCTGGCCTCCTTCACTTAGTACAACAGCTTTGGAGTTTATCTTTGCCATAGCATGTGTCGGCACTTGATTTGTTTTCAGGGCTCAATAATACTCCGTTGTGTGGACATACCATATTTCACTTATCATTCACCACCTGACGGACACTTGGGTTGTTTCCACTTTGAGGCCATTATGAATAGCACCTACATGGTGCACAATTTTTTTAAACAGCGACACTTTATTTTTTAAATTAATTACTTTGGCTGCAGTGGGTCTTAGTTGCAGCAGGTGGGCGTCTCCATCTCCACTGCCCGTGCGTGATCTTTTGTTGCAGCGTGTGGGACCTAGTTCCCTGACCAGGGATCAAAGCCATGCCCCCTGCAATGGGAGCAAAGTCGTAAGTGCTGAGCCGCTGGGGAAGTCCCTTTCTTTCTCCCTTCCCCCCTCCCTTTTTAAAATTTATTTTTGCTATTTTTGGCTGCGCTGAGTCCTCATCGCCGCTCTCGGGGGCTCCCTCTGGCCGCGGGGAGCGGGGGCGCCTCCTGGTTGCAGTGCTTGGGCAGAGTGTGGGCTCCAGAGCTCAGGTTCAGGAGCTGCGGTGCGCAGGCTTAGCTGCCCCGGGCAGGCAGGGTCTTCCCGGAGCGGGGATGGAACCCCTGTCCCCTGCATTGGCAGGCGGCCTCTAACCACTAGACCGCTGGGGAAGCCCTCCTTCTTCCTCACTGAAGCACACTTGGCCCTATTCGCTTGCTCCTCCTGTCTGTAGGCCATACTTCCTTGTCACTCTCTGGGCCTCATAATGCTCGTTGACAACTGGACCTCTTGAATGTTATAATGTGGAACTCTGGAACCAGACTCTCCCTGGTCCAGCGGTTTGCTGATGCTACAGCTGTGCAAGGTTGCTGCTGTTTGTCCGGGGACTTTTCTGAACTCAAGTTGCAAAGCCAGGGTTCTCTGCTGTGTGGCCACTGCAGGGCATGTTCAACTAGCTTGCCGGTCAGCTCATGAGTCAACACAGGTTTCCTCCACCGCTGAGACGAGGCCACTCTGTCCTGGACTGCTCCCCCGCTTGGTTTCCGGAGTTCAGATGAAGTGAGCTCCGACGGGCTTTGCCAGTGTCTGTGGAGTCCGGGGCCCCTGGAGCCCTCTCATCTGCCACTTCTGCTGACTTCACCGCATCCTGTTGCTTTGCAGCTTTCTCTGATGCTTTTTCAGTTTCTCAATGACACCATTAGGTGTGGATTCACGCGTGTTCATCCTATTTGTGACTTGGGCTTCCTGAATCCTGGGATTCATTTCTCCCATCTATTTTGTTGAAGTCTCACCTCTTTTTTTTAAGTCTTTATTGATGTTGGTACAATATTGCTTCTGTTTTATGTTCTGGTCCTGTGGCCACACGGCACTGTGGGAGCCTCACTGCCTGACTGGGGGACAAACCTGCACCCCCTGTGCTGGGAGGGAAGTCTTAACCGCTGGACTGCCCGGGAAGTCCCCAAGTTTCACCCGTTACACGTTCAAATATCCCTTCACCCCCTTTCTTAATTCTGTCTGAAGTTCCTATTGGATGGATGACCTAGTGCCTCTTCCCTCTTTCTTAACTGAGTTTTCCAGTTTCTACAATATGTTTCTTTGCTTCCGTAAGCTTCATTATGGTTGGTTTCCTCAGACCTACCTTTGGCGGAACTAATTCTGTCTTCAGCTTTCTCTAAGCTGTTATTTGTCCCTTCCTCTGAGTTTTAAACGTCCATGAAGCCTACATTAAAGAAAGTTTCTATCAGTTCTTGGATTTTTTTCCCCCAAACTTCCAGATTTTTTTTGTTAGTCTTTTAAAAATTATTTTACGTCTTCAATCACTTCAGACACACTTATTTTAGAGCCTTGAGGTTCCTTCTCAGAAGCAGAGGAAATAGAGAGAGGACACAGACAGGGCCATGGAGTCTCAAGACATCAAAGCAGAAAGCTTTCCTTTGGGCGTAAATAAAGCCTGGAGGGCTGGCTGCATCGTCCTGTGAGCCGTCAGAGCCCCAGGGATGCCTGGGCACCTAAACTCCCAGCGAGGATTCCAGAGCCCCAGGGACTGCGGCACTGGACAGGCCCAGCCTCTCTCCATTGCACCACATGATCGCTTCTTCAAACAAAACTCGGTTTTCATGGCGTGCCTGCTAAGCTGCTTCAGTCGTGTCCGACTCTTTGTGACCCTATGGACCCTAGCCCAGGCTCCTCTGTCCATGGGATTCTCCAGGCAAGAATACTGGGGTGGGTTGCCATTTCCTCCTCCAGGGATCTTCCTGACCCAGGGATTGAACCCACGTCTCTTTCTTCCATCTGCCGCATTGGCAGGAAGGTTCTTTACCACTAGCACCACCTGGGAAGCCCTAGCAGTGACTGTTTGCCACAGGGAAAACCAGTTAAGAAGAAAAATAAAATAACCCACAATTCTAGTTCTCATGTTTAGCTGCCATGAACCCACTAGCCCAGCTCCCTGGCTCCCTTGCTGGATTGATTTTCCTCCATGGCATCAAGCACCATCAGGCACTCTGCATATCTTATTTATGATACTCTGTGCATCCCTGGGAGCATGTCAGCCCTGAGACAATCGGTGCTCTGTCTTGTCCCCCCCTGTATGCGCGGAGCCAGGAATCGGAGGGTGGGGCCTGGTTCCCTCACCAGCACCTCGGGGTGGGGGTGGAGGGTGGTGAATGAGCAAATGCACATGCAGTGCCATCTCGTGAATGAAAACACCTACTGCGTTTGCCGTCGCAACAATCCTACAGGCAGGTATTTGCTGACCCATTTCACAGCCGGGCAGACTGAGGCTCCTCATCCTGGACGACTTTCTGCCGCCACCTTCATGTGGCCGATGACCTCCCACTCTGGAGGTGAGAAGGGAGAAGGCTCACTCCAGTTGTCATCCCATCCCGGGGGCTCCTTTGAGAGAACTAGCCAATGGACTTGGGGTGCTTGGTGCCCGCCCCCCACACCTCATCCCCCTACCATGATGCAGGCTCCTGGAACGTGTTTTGGAGGTGAAGAGTGAACCCCCACCCCACTCCTCCTGGGTTCAAACTGTGCTCAAGCTAGAAATTTAACCTCACGGTGCCTCCATTTTGAGGGCTTCCCTACGTGGCTCAGATGGTAAAGAATCTGTCTGCAGGGCCGCAGACCTGGGTTTGATCCCTTGTCAGGAAGATCTGCATAACTGTCCCTACCTCTTAAAACTGGCGAGTCAGTGAAATGATGTATGCAAAGCTCTCGCCGCAGCAGCTGGCTCACCCTAAATGGCCATCACGGGACTGCATGAGTAGACGCCCTTGCCCCCATCCACCACGGCTCAGCCGGCGCTGGAGAGGGGACAGAGGTTCCCTTTCCTTAGTTGTTCTGAGTCCTCCACAGTCTCTGGGGGAAGGCCGCACGATAACGAAACTTTTAAGAGACTTGTGTATTGACTCAACTATAAACCAACAGCATCGCTGACTGGGGTCTCCAGGGGTGTGGTCGGGGAAGACTGCGGCAGGGAGTCACTGAGGCCCTGAGTCCCGGGCTGGCCTGAGCAAGCGCTTAATCAAGGCCAAGTGCAAGCTTTAAGGAAATGGCTTTAGGTCTGCAGGGCTCCTGTTGGGCTGATGGGGCAGCTGCCATACCTGCTGGGGGTCTGGCTGCCCTGAGTTTCGCAGATGGAGCCTGGAGAGGGGGCAGAGGTGGAGGAAAGGTTGTTCACACGGCCACGACGCGCTGGATCTCTTGTAGGGTGTGGGGAGCCTGGAGCCCTGCTCTCAGGGAATTGTCACACTCCCTGAGGGTGCAGACGGCCCATACGCAGCCTAACTAAGTGAGAGACCAGGCCAGAGACGGGAGCCACGACCGAGGCAGACCGGGGGCCCGCTCGCCCCCCACGTGCCTTTCTCCTTCCGCAGCTGCAGGGTCAGGCCCTATTTTTATCCTCCTTTGACAGACGAGGAAACCCCAGTTGGGGCGATTAAGTGACTGTGTCCCAGGCACACGGAGGTCCAGTCGCTCGTGTCAAAGCTACGAGAGCCTTGGGAGGGGGAGGATGGAGCCAGAGAAGGTGGGGAGCTCAGGGCCAGCCCCCCCAAGAAGCCTCGGGGAGGGGACTCTTCACTGGGCCTGAGGGGTTGTTAGCCCAGGGGCCGAGTTCTCAAATGTGAGCATCGCGTTTCTCTTACTGATTCTGCTTCCCAGAGACTTCTCCAGCCGCAGGGAGGGTCACCTGGCTGAGCTCTCTTGGCTGTGGGTGAGTGAGCAAGGAGGACCAGTGGACAGGGGGAAGGCAAGAGGCAAGGGCCTAGGTCTGTGCGTCAGACCCAGGTCCTCAGGGCCAGCCCAGGGTCCTGCTAGACCCCTGGGAGGGACCCCTCCAGTCAGTGGGAGGCCAGAGGAGGGTGACCAGGGTCCTGGGCATTCTGTCTGCAGACTTGCCAGCCTGGTTGGTCATGGATGGCTTCTGTGTGCGTGCCACCCAAGTCCCTGCAAGGTCTGCACCACGTGGAGAGGCTCTTTGTTTGGCCTCAGGAGGAGTGGGGTTGGATCTTCTTCAGCAGAAAGGTGGACCATGCTGATGGCCAGAGAGCCCAGAATATCCACGAGGATGAGAACCAGGCGGCAGGAAGGCGATGACTAAAACAGAAGTGGGTAAACTGGGGTGCCAAGGTGGGGCTGCGGAAAAGCTGCGACCAGTATGGTAGTTCCAAAGGAGTTCATCGGCAGGTCCTCACCTCCCTTCTCCAACCTCCTCAGGTTTGTAAACTAAAGAGGCTAAGGTCTTCCCCAGCCAGAGCCTTGTCCCCACGGGGTGTAAGAAGTCCCCCGTTCCAGGAAGCGGACAGTTGGGAGGGTGGGGGAAGGGTTTGGCCTCCTCTACAAGCTGCATTTCCCCCGAGGCCAGGCGTTGGTGTCTCAGCTCTCTGTGCCCCGCGGCCACTTCAGTGCCCAGGGTTTCCTCACCTGTAAGCCGGGCGCAGAAGGCCTGCGCTGGGTGGGTGTGGGGCCGCACCCGCTCAGGTGAGCCGGCGTCCGCTTTAATGTTGATTTTATAAAGACGCCCACATCTGCAGAAGCAGCACTCCTGCTCAACCTGTATCAAACCCAGTGACCTCAGGGGCCTGGGAAGGATCCAGCCCACACAAGGAAACTCCACCTTGCGGCTGGCAGGATCAGCAGGTACTAAGGAAAATTTGTTCTGCTTTTGACTTTCCACAGGGGTTTAACATATGGAAGGGCTTCCCTTATGGTTCAGCTGGTAAAGAGTCCGCCTGCAATGCAGGAAACCTGGGTTCAATCCCTGGGTTGGGAAGATCCCCTGGAGAAGGGAACAGCTACCCACTCCAGTATTCTGGCCTGGAGAATCCCATTGGACTAAAGAATCCGACAGGACTGTGACTTTCACTTTCACTAGTATAGGCAAAGTGTATCCACTTTAGGTTATGAAAGTGAAAGTGAAGTGGCTCAGTTGTGTCTGACTCTTTGCAACCCCATGGACTGTAGCCTACCAGGCTCCTCCGTCCATGGGATTTTCCGGGCAAGAATACTGGAGTGGGCTGCCATTTCCTTCTCCAGGGCATCTTCCCAACTGAGAGATCGAACCTGGGTCTCCTGCATTGTAGACAGACGCTTTACCTTCCGAGCCAACAGGGAAGACTGCTTTAGGTTATAGCTAGATAAAAATCGACTTAAGGAGGAACTGCCACCCCCCAAAAAAAGATATCAAACGTGTCCAGGAGCTGAATCTTTCAAAATACAGAAAAGGGCAAGGGCCCACAGGTTTTACCTTCGGGGCCCACTGCTGGAATCCCAGCCTAGGGACCTTTGATCTCATTCCTGCCTCTCACAGGGGAAGATGGGAAAGAGGCTGGCGGGGGTGGGGGCGGGGGGCAGGTCTCCGGGCAGAGCCGGGAACGTTCCCTGCTTCTCGCCAGCACGGGGCACTTGGCGCCCTCTCCCACGGCCAAGAACTCGAGCGACCAGGCCCCAGCCTGATACGGTGACCGGAGGTGGGCGGGCTGGCGGGAGTGGGGTAGATGGGGGCGCGGCCGAGCGCGGCTCCTCCCTGGGCGGGGCCGCCCCTGCGCGCGCGCCGACGCCCCGCCCCCGCCCTCCTGCGCGCGCCCCCGCCAGGCTAATTAGGCGCGCGGTTTGTTTACAAACATGGGCGCCCGGCAGGTGCGCGCCGCCCGGACCGTGCGCGCCCGGGGTTCCAGGGCGGCCCCACCAACTCGGGGGTCCTCGGGCGAGGGTGGGAGAGGCAGGCGGGCGCTGGCCGTCCTCCCGCCTCTTGCGCGCCTCTTTGGGCACCAGGAAATACGCCCAGAGGCGTGTGTCCCCTGCGCCGGAGTGGGCGCGGGGGCGCCGCGCAGGGTCTCCGAGTCGCCACCGGGGCCGCACCCCGCCCCCGCGCGCCCCCCGGGCCGGGCCCGCTCGCGGCCGGGTCGGCGGGGCGGGCGGCGGGCGGGGGCGCGCGGGGCGGGGCGGGGCGCCGGCGGGGCCGGGACATGTAGTCCGCGCGCCACGGCCTCCCCTGGGCGGCCCCGGCGCGGGCCCGGCCGCGGACTACGACTCCCGCCAGGCGCCGCGGCGCAGCGCATGAGCCCTGCTCGGCTCCGGCGCGTCTATTATGCTGCCGGGGCCGGCGAGCCAAAGAGGAGCCGGCCGCGCGGGCCGGGAGGGGACGGCCGCCGGAGCCGCCGAGGCCAAGTACGCCTTTCTTTTGCTTCCTTGCGCGCGCGGGGCGGCGGGCGGCGCGGGCGGAGGAGGGCCGGGCGGGCAGGGGAGCGCGGCCCCGTGCGCCCCGCGCAGGCCGCCGGCGCGTCCGGGGAGCCTGGCACCCGGGCGGCCGTCTCCGCCGCCGCCGCCTTTGTGCGCGGCCTCGCTGCAACAAAGCGCGGCGGCGGCCCGGGGTCGCGGCGGCGGCGCGGACCCCTCCCCTCGGCCCTCCGCCCGCGCCCTCCCGGCCGCCCGCGTCCCGGGCTCGGGGGCGTCGCCGCGGCCGGGGCTCGCAGCCTGGAGTTGGCGCGGTCCGCGCGCCCTGCGCCAGCGACCTCCCGCGCTCCCTCCCTCACGGAAAGGATTTTTCCCCCCCTTTTCTCCGCCCGCCATCTTTTGAAGGGGGGATCGGGGAGGACGCGGAGGGGAAGGTAGCGCTTCGGCGCCACTTTGCCCGCGCGCGCCCGGCCCGCCCCGGTCCCTGGCCGCGGGGCTCGCGCGGGGGCTGTCGCCGCGGCTTGGGCGGGGGGCGAGGCTGGCGGCGCGGCGTGGAGGCCGCTCGCTACAGAGTTAGGGGCCCGAGCTGACTTTGAGCCCTTGGGAGTTGCTGGGTCGTTGCAGCCCGGAGGAGTTCCCGTTTTGAAAACAGCGTGAAAAGCGCTTACAACGGGCGAGATCGAGTTGGAGCGGGAGGAGCTGGGCTGGGCCGTGGCCTGACAGCGCGGCACAAGCCCGTCGGGGAGGAGTGCTCACCCCAGGCCTCACACGGCTCCCCCGGCCCTCGTGGGCTCCCCAGGAATAAACGTGGGGCTCGGGGGAGTCCTCTCCGCCGCTTGCTCGTCGGGGTCAGGGCCGGGGGTGGAGGCCTTGGGTCGCCTCCTTTTCCCTCGGGGCCAGGGGCGGTTTTGGAAAGATGAAAGTGGGAGCATGGCACGGGTCCGCCAGCAGACCCCCCGGGGGCGGTCCCGTGGTCCACCCTTAGGGTTCCCGCCTTTGGGCCCAGTCCCTGGCCGTCCTGCGATCCTTCATTTTGGCTGGAAGCTTTCTACCCAGAAGCGCATAACTGGGGCTCCTTCCCGTGTGTTCCCTGGGTTGTGGCTGCAAAGTTAATGGTGCTGGGGGGTGCTGTTGTGTATCCTTTGGGCAAACTATGGGCCGGGGGGGGGGGCGGAAGGCGTGTAACAGGGATCGCTGTGCCCCGCCCCCCCCCCCCCCCCCCAGTGAGGACGGAGGAAAAAGTTTTTTTTTTTTAAACCTTGTTTTGTAGGCTTTTTCCCTGACTCTTTCTTTAAAATGGGGGTTCTTTTCCTGAGTCCCTGGATGGCATTACTCCTGGGGGAGAGGTTGGCATTCAAGGGGGGGGGGTGGAGAAAAGGCCTGAATCCCTGCGAGGGTCTGGCTTCAGGAGTTAGGGACCTCCTCGCTTCCCTCCCGCTCCACCATCCTCCCGCAGCCGGGAATCCGGCCTCTTATTTGCAAATAAAGCTCTGTTTGCCCTTCTCTGTCGTGAGGCCTTGATGTGTGCTCGCGGTTACAGATCCGGAGAGATAGGGCGCACGGCGTCTGGGGCGGGAGGGGACGCGGGGCGGAGTGGGCTGTTTCTCCCTGACCTTTCTGGTAACCTGGGAGGTGGGAGGGGGGCTGGCCTCTGGAATCCCGCCCCAGCAGCGCCTCTGAAGCTTCGATCCAGCCCCAGCCCCACCGCGGGGACGTCCGGGGAAGGAGGGCCAGGCGGCGCCGGTCGGTTTTTGTTTTGTTTTTAGAAAGTGGAGTAATTGCCTTCCCTCCACAACAGCCCGTGCGCGCTTGGGAAGTGAGCTCCGAGGGCCGGAGGCGATCTGTTAAATACGCTGCGCCCGCCGGGCTTGCGGGCAGAAAGTGAAAGTGGACAGGGGAGGGGGGCGGTGCGGCGGGGTAGACAGCGCCCTCCGGGGCCAGCCGCGCCTCCTGCGCCCTCTTCCTCCAGCCTGGCGCATTGCCAGTCGTCCGAGCCCTGCGCCCCGCGCCCACGGCCATTTCCTGGTTCTGGGCGGCAGAGGCTGTCTGGGGAGCGCTGGCCCCCTGCCACCGATCGCAGTGGAGTGGTTGGTGCAGGACACCGCCCCAGCCAGCCTGGCCCTGCACCCACCACTGGGGTCCTGTACTCCTTGGAGAGCAGCGCTCCTCATCCTGTGGGGCCGGGGGAGCTGGCCCAGGTGGGGAGTGGGGTTTCCCCAGGGAGCGTCTGCCCGGATGCATGTGCAAAGCTGCTCTGCGGACACCGCCCCCCGCCCCTCCCCACCAGTCTCGGGGCAGTCCGGCTGAGCAGCTGGTCCTCCTTCTGGTCTACCTGTCTGGCGGACTTGTAGAGGCATAGGGCACCCGTCAGGTCCTCGTAGACCTCGTACCAGCGGCCATTGTCTGGTCAGCATTCCTTGCTTCCAAAGGGAACTTTAGTGACGTGTGGCAGAGAGCTGCATTGTGCTGGGCACACACCTGTCTGCTGGGAGCTTGTCCCAGGAGAGCCCTCCGCCCCACCCCGAGCTCTGCCCCCTGGTGTCCGTGGACAAGGTCCACAGGTGTCTTGACAGTGTCGGGTGGCCCGGGCACTTGATCGGGGTGCCGATAGGTAGGTGCCCAGGGGGCGGGCAGCTTGTTGAGCCCCCTCAGCTCCCCCTTGAGTCGTGAGCCCCTTTGGCACCTGCACCCCCCGCTCTGGGGGCCTGTGGCCCTGCCTCCGACAAACACTGGGCTCTTAAAGGCCAAGGGTGACGTTTCTGGGTCTGCGAGTGGAGATGATAGTTACCTGGGCCGGGGTGGGGGGTGTGTGTCCAGAGGCCCCACTGCGTCAATGCTGTGGGTCAGCCTTTGTTTCTGCGGCCAGGTTTTCACCGTTGCACAAGAGAACCTGGTCTGAACCTAACCCCTTTTCCAGGGTCTTTGTGAGCCGGAGTCTGAGCTGACAGGCGCATGGGGGGACGCCCTCCACCATCCTTGCCCCAGAACTGGGGGAGTTGGTCAGGAGGTCACGAGGCGCCTGGGAGAACACTCCCCGTGCTCAGGGGCTGCCACCTGGGGTGCCGCAGGTGCCCCATGAGGTTTTCCTACAAGTGTTGGAATCTGGGCTCAGGAGGGTGATCAGGAGCATTTTCGGGAGGGCTGGGGGCACGCGTGTCCCAGATGCTGCCCCGTCGTGAGGTGCTGGCGCTCTGGGGTCCCCGCCAAGGTCCCTGCTACCTGGGGGCGGGAATGCGTGTTGAGCAGCTGGACCCTCGTGCAGTGTTATCAGGAGGAGCTGGCGGGCAGCGTGGTCTGATGGCGTCACAGGGTGAAACTCGGGTGCAGATGGGAGGAGAGGGCCGGAGGGGTGCTGCCCAGCCCGCAGCCTGCCCGCCCTTGGGGCGGAGCGCTGGCCATGCCCGCAGGGTGCCAGGGCTGCTGGTGCGCCCCAGATAAGCCACACCCACCCTGTGCTCTGCAGTCTCAGCTGCCAGCAGGCTGTCCTGGCCGGGCCGTTGGGGGTCTGGGCGGGGAAGACACTGATGGCCGCATGACAGTCCTCTGAGATGTCGGAGCCTGCACCCCCACGCCCCGAGGGCGGGGAGAGACTGCGCTCGGTCAGCGTGTGAGCTCTGGGGCTGTGGGAAGGGTCCCGGGGGTGGCGGCTGGGACCCCTGGCTCTTGGGCACCCCCGTGCTCAGAGCGCGTGCTGGTCCCTCTCCAGGGCGTCCAGGCTCCGGCCAGCCCTCCCGTGGGAGCCCCTGCTGCCCTGGAAACGTGTGGACACCCAGGGAGCGTGTTTGTGTGGGGACCCTGGTTTACCGAGGCTGGGCCATGCGAGGTGCCGCTCTGGGCTGGCACTGGTGGGCTCCCCCAAGGGCTGGCTGCCCCTCAACACTGGGATTGGCCGGTGGTTGTGGAGTCCCAGCCTGATCTCCCACCTCCCTGCTCAGGCTCCACAGCCTCCCGGCCCCTCTAGGTCTTCGGTCCCGTCTGTTACGTGGGGCGAAGGGTCAGCGTCCTTGTGAGGGCCGCCGCCCGGGGTGTGAGCTCGGGAGGGCCCTGGCGGGCGTGGCCACCGCCTGGGTCTGATCTGGGACGTGCGGTGTGTGTGGAACCTCCTCTCGCTCAGGGTCCCAGAGTTGCCCACATGGTTGTTGGTGTCAAATGGGGGTTGTCTTTTGGGACAGGCGACAGTGACCGCATGCAGGGCCAGGCCCCCCGGCAAGTGCAGTGACCACCTGACCCCAGCTTCGTCTGTGGGGCCGACTGGCCCAGAGAGGCTGCTCCCCCCTCCCTCTCCAGGAGCGTGGGGGCTGCTCAGGCTGTCGTCCATGTGTCCCCTGGCGTCATCCCCCCTTCTGAGTGGCCCGTCCCTCGCGCCCCCCCCCCCCCAGAACTCCCCTGGAGCTTTCCAGCCCTTGACATGCACCTCTGGTGCACCGTCTCTATGGTTTCTTTGGTTTTTCTTAAGGGTGGATTGTTTGAGAGGGGTGGGGACAGCCTCCCACAGGTCAGGGGGCCTGGCTGGCCTGACCCCCACTGTGAGCAGTGACCCCACAGCAGAGCTGGTCAGAGGGTGGCTTCTCCAGGTAGGCTGGCGGGCTGGGCAGAAACATGGGGTGTCAGGGAACACTGGATTGAGGAGGAGCCTTAGCTGTGGGGGGTGCAGAGCTGAGAGGACATGGGGGCGTCGGGAGGGGGCCAAGGACTCTCGGTGGGCCAGGCGGGTTCCTTAGTTCAGTCCAGTCACTCAGTTGTGTCTGACTCTGACCCCATGGACTGCAGCACGCCAGGCCTCCCTGTCCATCACCAACTCCCAGAGTCCACCCAAACCCATGTCCATCGCATTGGTGATGCCATCCAGCCATCTCATCCTCTGTCGTCCCCTTCTCCTCCTGCCCCCAGTCCCTCCCAGCATCAGGGTCTTTTCTAGTGAGTCAGTTCTTCCCATGAGGTGGTCAAAGTATTGGAGCTTCAGCTTCAGCATCAGTCCTTCCAGTGAACACCCAGGACTGATCTCCTTTAGGATGGACTGGTTGGTTGGATCGCCTTGCAGTCCAAGGGCCCCTCGAGAGTCTCCTCCGACACCACAGGTCAAAAGCACCAATTCTTCAGCGCTCATCCTTCTTTACGGTGTGACTCTTGCATCCACACGTGGCCACCAGATAAACTGTAGCTCTGACTACTCCTACCTCGAAGACTGGGGGTGCTGTGGGCATGCGATGGGGCTGGCCTGGCTGGGTCGTGCCCTGACCCTGGGTGGGCTCAGGCCCTGGTCGGGGCTGAGCCGCTCTGGGGAGCGGCCCTTCAGGAGGCCACTGTGGTGGCACTCATCCCTGCGAGGCGGGCAGTGGTGGCCAGCAGGGCCCGGGGTGTGTGGGGCCCCTGCCCGCCTGGCTGACCTGCTCGGAGGCCCCTCGCCGGGCCCCTGGGTCCCCTCCCTGGAGGAGGCAGTTGGCTCCGTCTGTCACTGAAGCCGACCCTGCCCACACGGCTCCTGTTTCCTGAGGCCCGGCAGCTCCTGGCAGAGGCGCTGGGGTGGCGGGCTGGCCCCTCCCTGCGGGTCAGCGTTTTGTCTCTGCGGGTCTCTCCCGGCCGTTCTGGGATGTGGTGCGGAGCCTCCAAGGTTGGGCGGATGGCCTTGCTCACAGCCTGGCTTTGCCCTGGGCCCTTTCACCACTGAGCCTCCCACCCCACCCGGAAAGTGGAGCCCCTATGGCCCCCGCCAATGCTGGGATAGGACCTGGGGAGTTGGGGCAACGTCATGGTTGGGCCCCCCCCAACTCAGGAGGCGAGGCCGCAGGGTCTGAGCTGGCCCGGGGGTGGGGAGGAGCTGACACTGGCATGGGGCACCCCTCCCAGGCTTTCTTCCAGCCTCTGACCTCCGCTCTCTGTGCCCACGTCCCCCACCAGGCTCCCCCCAGCCTGACTGTGGCTCGAGATCCCCCGTCGGCCCGACGACCCCCAAGCTAAGAGCTTCCTGGGGCTCCTCACCCCTCTGCCTCCTCCTCTGACCCTGCCCACCTCCCTGCTAACCCCCCAGGCCATGGCTGAAAGCATGTCCCCCGATGGTGGTGAGCGAGCAGCCCCTGGGTTGGGCACCCCCCCTCCCCCCAGCATCTCCTGAGGCATGGAGGAGACCCGGCCGCCGAGGAGTGCCCGACTCCGGCTGCTGGGTCTTGTCTGCGGTGGGAGGGTCAGAGCCGCCGCTGCGGCTGCGTTTTCTGGGCGGTTTCCCTCGTGGTCCCTGGACAGAGGTCCACACTCTGCCCTTGTTTGTCCAGGAGCCTGAAGGGCTCTGGTGTCCAGCCTCTCTCGATGCGTCCCTCCGGGTTGAGCCATCCTAGAGGGGCTGAGTTCGTGTTTTATTTCTGATTACAGTTCCCTGGGGAGGAAGGAGGCGGGTCCCAGAGCCTTGAGCCCAGGGACCCTGGGAAGGGGCGGGGAGAAGGCCATGACCTCCGGCCGCCTGCTGTGGAGCTGGGACACCGCCCCCGCCCCCGCCTGTGGCCGGACGTGTCCTGCAGAGTCCCTCGCGTCGGAGTGGCGGGTGTGTGGCCCCGGAGGGTGGGGCGGCCGCGCAATGACCCCTGGCCCCACCCCTCCACCGCCGTGGGCCAGCCGCTTGGTTTTCTGGGCCCTCCCGTGGGATCCCGCCCCAACCCCTGTCTGCATTTCCTCTCGCTGTTCGAGGGCTTTTGCGGTTTGTCAGCGTTTCCGCTCTGGGTGGTTTCAGATCCCCTCTCTTCGAGGGAAGGCTTCTCTCACTCTGACCTTCGCATGTTTGTGGTGCTGCCGTCAGGCCTGGCTGGGGGCACCTCGGGAGATGTGTGTGTGTTGGGGGTGCTCCCCAGGATGTGTGTGTGTGTGCTCCCCGGGAGGTGTTTGTGTGTGGGGGGGTCTCCCCAGAAGGGGTATTTGTGTGTGTGTGTGGTACTCCTCGGGAGGTGTGTGTGTATGTGTTGGTGCTCCCCAGGAGGTGTGTGTGGGGGGGTGCTCCCCAGGAGGTGTGTGTGTGTGGGGTGCTCCCCAGGAGGTGTGTGTGGGTGGGTGCTCTCCAGGAGGTGTGTGTGGGGGGGTGCTCCCCGGGAGGTGTGTGTGGAGGGGAGTGCTCCCCGGGAGGTGGGGGGGAGTGCTCCCCGGGAGGTGTGTGTGGAGGGGAGTGCTCCCCGGGAGGTGGGGGGGAGTGCTCCCCGGGAGGTGTGTGTGTGGGAGTGCTCCCCGGGAGGTGGGGGGGGAGTGCTCCCCGGGAGGTGTGTGTGGGGGGTGCTCCCCGGGAGGTGTGTGTGGGGGGTGCTCCCCGGGAGGTGGGGGGGTGAGTGCTCCCCGGGAGGTGGGGGGGTGAGTGCTCCCTGGGAGGTGTGTGGGGGGTGCTCCCTGGGATGTGTGTGTGTTGGGGTGCTCCCCGGGAGGTGTGTGTGGGGGGGTGCTCCCCGGGAGGTGTGTGTGGGGGGGTGCTCCCCGGGAGGTGTGTGTGGAGGGGAGTGCTCCCCGGGAGGTGTGTTGGGAGTGCTCCCTGGGAGGTGGGGGGGAGTGCTCCCCGGGAGGTGTGTGTGGGGGGTGCTCCCAGCCTCGCTCTCCCCTCTGAGGGCTGGGGCCCAGGGGTCCCCATGCAGGGCACGCGCGAGGCTCGTCACGGCTGGGCTGAGAGCTCCCAGCTTGCTGTGCCCGCGCCGTCTCCCGGAGTGCTGGTTCTCAGCGGGCCTGGCGGCTCCGGGCGCGTGGGGGCGTCGGGAGCCGGCCGCACGGGCTGCTCCGGCGCGCTTGCCGCGGGAGGTGAGCCGGGGGAGGGGAGCCCGGGCGCCCTGCAGGGCCGCTTCTGCGCCTGGGCCCTGCCACCTGCGCTTCCCACCCCGTCCCGGGCTCTCCTGCCCGAGTCCCCGTGCCCAAACCTTGGGTCGTCTCCGCTGGGCCGGGAGCCCAGGGAGCAGGGCTGTGCCCCCCAGACCTCACTATTGCTGTGGGGTGGGGGGCACAGGGTCCTGAGTGCCCCAGGAAAGGGGGGTTCACCTCCTCTTCCTGAAGTGGGGGCTTCCCAGTGTGGCCAGCAGAGGGGCCGTGGAGGCCCCCTGTATGTCCCGCTTCTACTCAGAGACCCCCAGTCATTTCAGCCCCGCTCCCACGCCTGTGATCACAGAGCAGACGTGTATCTCCTTCATGAGACTTGATCCTCCTCTCTGAAGCGAAGGGCTTTTAAAGAATTGTACCGCACATTGCCGTCACCCCCAAAGCACTGACGTTGAGTCCACGGTCATCAAATGACTGTGTGGACGTAGACGCCTCCATTCTCACTGTCCAGCAGGTGTTTCTAGTGCGCTGGCCCAGGGCAGAGGTGCTGGGGGTGGGCACCGCCCCGGCCGTCCCCCCTAGGCCTCGAGGGGCCCCGAGGCATCCCGGGCTGGGTGGAGAAGCTGACCGCAGTGATGGGCAGTCTTCCTGCATTGCAGCTGGGACCCCAGAACACTGCCCCAAGGAGTGAGCTTTCTTTCTTGTTCTTTTGCAGCGGCAGCTGGCCCTTCGCCGCTGAGGGTCGGCCTTCTGTGTCCGTGTTTACCTCCCTGGGAGGCTGACGTGTTTCCCTGCAGGCTGTTGTGTCTGACCTGGGACGTTGTCTCAGACCCTGGGGGTGCAGGAATGCAGGAGCACTGGCTGGGTTCTGAGACCCCGGAGGCTCCGTTGGGACATGCCTGGTGTTGGGGGAGCGGGAGTCGGGCTGCGGCCTGTTCCGTGAGGCTGCGGGTTGCTCCCAGCCCGATCACGGCGGGCGTTGCCTGCTTGTGCCCCAAGTGGGGGCACTCAGTCCCAGGGGGTCACGGGCGTCTGTGGGGGCCCTGCTCCCGCCCCAGGGGGCAGCTCATCCGCGTGGTGGGGGCCTGTGTGCCCTGGGCCTCGGTTTCCCCACCTGCAGCCAGCGCCTGTAGTGCTGCCAGGGGCTGACCTGGGGCCCCCGAGGGGGGCTCCCCGCCGGACATTTCCTCTGCTCCTTCTGTGACCCCTCCTGGTGCCCCACCCAGCCACAGGGGCTTAGGCCACGGGAGCGCGCTGGAGCCTTCTGGAAACCCGCAGTCGTGAGTTTGCCTTGTTTCTCTCGATGGAGGGGGGCCTGTGGGCGCCCCCCTGGGGCTCTCTTGAGGAAGAGGTTCTGGAGTCTCTGCCGGTGGACGCAGGCACCCGGCCACGTTGGCCCCCCTGCAGTCTCGTCCGGGTCCCTAGCCAGGGGGACCAGGTGGGCAGGTGACCAGCATCCGTCCTGGGTGGGGCCTGGCAGGGCTGAAGGGAGGGGGTGGGCTGCCCATGTGCCCACGCTGAGCCCAGGCCTGCTGGGTGAGGAGACCCCCCGAGGGGCTGGTGTCCCCGGCTCTTTAGCCGCTGTCCAGGAGCCCCCGGCCCCCACGTCCTCGAGGGTGGGTGCCGTGCCTCCGTCCTTGGGGCTGGCTTGGAAGCGCTTGACCGCTGACGGCCGTGCTGGTGGTCAGCCAGAAGGGCAGCTGGGACTTGGACCCTGGCGTGGCAGACCCTAGCAGGTACGCCCTGCTGCCCTTCTGCAGGGCCCCCGTGTCTGTGGCATCTTTGCATCCCCAGCTGAAGTAAGACTCACACTAGGAACTCGGAGGGGCGCCACTGCCCGGGACCACCCCCCAGGGTTGTGGGGGCCCTGCTCACAGTTGTGGGGGGGCCGTCTGGTGTCTTATGACTGCTGGGCACCCTCTCTCTCACCCTGTGATGCCAGGAGCCAAGTCGGGAGGCAGGGGGGTCCTGGGCTTGCGTTCCCCGAGGCCCTCCGTGTCTAGGTTCAGGAGATAGCCCAAGGATGGCAGAGCCTCAGCTTTGTCATCTGTGCGGTGGGCCTGCTCAGTGGCCATGTGGGATCACGTGGCATCTCCCCTTTAGTGGGAGTGGAGGGCCCGCGGCCGACCACCCAGCGTCCTTCGGGGCTTCTCCACCATCTGCCCCCGTGACCTCGCCCAGGAGGGCAGCTGGTGAGGCCTGGCCAGGGCCCGCTGGGGGTGGGTGCACAGTGAGCCTGGACGGAGCCAGGTGGTGACTCCCCGGCCTGTCCTGTTGTTTTAAGTCCCCATGTGGCTCCGGCCCTCTTCTCTGGGACCGATGTCGGTTCAGGACTGAGCCCTGGAGGGGCGGGTGGGGGGCAGCTAGTGGACTGTGTGGCCCCAGCTTCTTTCTGGAAGCAGCCTCTGCCTTCCGGTCCCGGGATGCGGCCCGACCCCCGCCCGGACGAGGCGGCTGACAGACGGCACAGCTGTGGTGGGTGGCCGCCTGCCGCCTGGACAGGTGGGCGTTGGTCGGGTTTCTTGGCCATCCAGGCAGTGTGGGCCGGGATGGGGGGTGCGAGGGGGTCGACGGCGCCTCTCACAGCCCTGCCGAGGGTGAGCCGAGACCTCGGGGTCGTCGTGGGGCCAAGACTTGCCCCAGACGGAGCACGCACCGCTGTTGGGCCTGGCCCCGGGCCTTGGAGGAAGAGACAGGCGCTCCCAGACTCTTGGCCGGGTTGGAGCTTTTTTCCAAACTAGAAATCCCTTTACACTTGCTTCTTTTTGCAAGAGTAACGTGTTTCTAAAAAAAGAAACCCATCAGTTCAGAAACACAAGCAGAAAGGCAGAAGGCTGCCCACAGGCCGGCGCGCTGTGGGCACCCAGGGAGCCTCTCCGTCAACTTGCTGTCCCGGGACGTCCCGCGCTCAGCCAGCATCTGGTTTCCTCGGGCTTGCTGTCGGGTCAGCAGGGTTGACGGGGAGGCGAGGCCAGACTCTCGCTGTGGCTCTGCTCGCCCTGGACACGTGGCCCGATCTGGGTGGGCTGGCCCCGACAGGGAGTGGCGTGGCCCCTCACCCGCCCCCAGAGGGACAGCGCCCGGTGACCTGTGTGACGCTACGGCCCGCCTGGTAGGGTTCTGCCCGAGCCCCTGGCTGCACGGCCCTGTCGGGGAGAGCAGTCCAGTGCCCGGGGTGGGGGCCTTGCCAGCCTCCGACGCTCCTGCTGCCCTTTCTCCTCCCTGCTGAGCACAAGCACCGCGCTGGCCTCTGCCCTCGGGGGGACGCCACAGCCCTGCAGGCACCCCACATGCCCGTGGGAGCCCGGGTGCAGGGGCTGCACCCCCCCCCGGTGGTGGTGCTGGAGGCCGCGTTTGTTTGCAGAGGCCCCCTGCCCGTGCCAGCCGCAGGCTGTGGGGCATCCGGCAGCATCCGTGCGTGTCCTCGCTGAACCTTGCACGCCCTCCGGGGTGTGCGGTGCTTCTCGCCTCGGGACTGTCTGTGGTCTGTGGTCGGTGTTCCCTGAGCGCGTGCCAGGCCCGCTCTGGGCTCCAAGCTGAGCTGCGTCCTCTGGGATCCCCGGCCCTGCCGAGCCGGCGCCCGGGCTGGGCGGGAGTGAGGCGGGACCCAGGCAGTGGCTCCTGCTCTCGGCCCCTCCTGGGTGGAGCCGGCTGCCTTGTGGGGCCTGGGTGCCCAGCCGCGGAAGCAGTGTGTCCGTGTTTGCGGCGGGGGCTGGCCGCCTGCGGTCCGCCGTGTGGAGTGGTCCATCACTGGTCAGGAGAGGGGGCGGAGGTTGAAGGGCAGGCTGCGGGCCCCTGTGCGGCCCCGGCGCGTCCCTGCAGAGAACTGTGCGCAGGGGGCCGGGCTGCACCTTCCCGGGGCCCCCGTGTCCCCTCAGGTGGTTTCAGGGCCTGGCGGTGTCCTGCCTGCCCCCGAGGACTGCGTATCAGCAGCGCTGGGTACTGGGTGCCTGCCCGCCTGCGTCTGGGGGCCTGTGGGTCCTACCCGGCCCGCACCGGGGGGTTCACTCCCCCTGTACCTGGGGCCCCACCCAGCCTGGGGGCCAGGCTGGGCTTGTCCGACTCAGGGAGGAACAGGGTGTGTCCTTAACGGACCTTGGGGACCCCCAGGTCGGCAGGCCCGTGGGGTGACTGGCGCGTGTCCAGCACTGGCCTGAGTGCTTTGCGCTGGGCTCCTTTAGTCTTGTCTCCCGCGGGGACCCAGGCAGACTGGATCCCGGGGTTGGTGAAGGGCGGAGCTGGGATTGGGACCAGGGGTCTGGCCCCGCATTTGCTCTGCACCCCTGAGCTATCTGGGGTCTGGGAGGCCCAGCCTGTGATGGTGCTGGGGCGACGCGGGGGGAGGCACGGGCCTGCGAGGCCGCAGCAGCCAGGACGGGGAGACCAGTCACTGGTCAGCTCGGGGCCTGCAGGCCAGAGTGGGACAGGCAGTGCTGGTTGGGACAGGAGCCCCATGTGGGGCAAGGCCATCAACGGGGGCAGGTTCGTGGGGACCCCAGCAGGTGGCGGTGGCGCTGTGCCAGAAGTGGTCAGACCTGTGGGGTGGGGGGCACAGGCTGTCGCTGTGTGGTGGGGACTTGGGGCGTCAGCCGGCTGGCCTGACGGCCTCCCCAGGGAGGCCCTGGAGCCGGCGTGGAGGAGACGCTCAGGCCCTTGGGGGGGCACCTCGGGGTATTCCAGAATGTTCCTCCGAGGAGGGGAGCGGGCGGGCAGGTCTGCTCCATGCGTGGGACGCGCCCGGCTTCTTTTCGGAGTCCTCTTTGCTCTGGCTTGGGGTTGGCGGGGGGGGGCGGGCAGAGGAGGCGCTGGCCTGGGGGAAGCCCCTGGTGTGTAGCTTTCCCTGATGACTGTGGTATAAACGCGCCCACATGGCAGATTGCGGGCTGCTGGCAGGATGTCAACCAGCTAGAAACACTTTGCAAGTTACAGCGACCTGCTTTTGTAAATCGTAGCTGGTGGATGTGGTCCCCGTGGCTGACAGGTGCTGTTCTGAGGGCCCTCTGGCCCCCACTCAGGCCCTGCCTCCCAGCCTGGGCCCGCCTGGGAGGGCCACTGACTTCCTCCCAGGACGTGGCGGGGAGCCGCTGTGGGCGTGGCCCGTCTGTCACCCGGCACACAGCTGTCCGCGTGGGGCTGGGCCGCCTCCTGACACATGTGAGGCCGTGGTGGCCAGTTCCTTCCCGGCGCTGCGCGTGGAGGAAGTTTGGCGAGCCGGGCTGTGGTTCGGACAGTCCCTGTCCGCCGCCCTCCCCGATTGGCTGAGGACCGGCCATGTCACAGCCCGGCTGCCATCACACACCAGGGCCCGTTCTCGTGGTTATGTTGGAACTCCCATCACCCATGCACCGTGCGTGCTCCCTGCGCCTTTCTGCCGGCCTGGCTCGGACATTGGGTCCGCATCGCGGCTCTCGACGCAGCTCTCGACGTGTGAGTTGATGCCCGGAAGGTTGCTGCGATGCGGTCCAGGCCGGTGTAGAGGCAGCCCCCCGCGCACCGGCGGCTGGTGGGCGGTGAGCCGACACTGGCTGCGGCTCTGGTCTCCGCCTGGACGGCCGCCCCCGCCGCCCCCCACCCCTCGTGTCTCCCCCATCCGCCCGGGTGGGGGGGGGGCACCTGCTGCCGTTCTGCCTCCCGTCCCGGGTCTTTCTCCCTGCCCCGGCCTGAGGGCAGCGGCGTGACAGTGGTCCTGTGACAGGTGAGGGTGGGCCTGACGGGGGTGGACGCGCCAAGGTGGCCTCGCCGTGACCGCGCGGGCTCACGCGCTGGTGGAGCCGGCCGAGGCTGGGGTGACCGGCCGTCCCCACCGCGGTCCCTCCCGCCCTGCAGGTGCTGCCTGGTTGGGCCCAGACATGGGATGTCGCGCCTCGGCGGGGAGCACAGAGGAAGCCAGCGCCTCCCCGAGCCGCTGCCGTGACGGCCAGTGAGCGAGCAGCTGGAGGATGTCCACCGCGACACCGGTCGCCCCCACGGGGATCCCGGCGGCCCCGGGCCCAGTGAACCCGCCCCCACCGGAGGTCTCCAACCCCGCCAAGCCCGGCCGCAAGACCAACCAGCTGCAGTATATGCAGAACGTGGTGGTAAAGACACTCTGGAAACACCAGTTCGCCTGGCCCTTCTACCAGCCCGTGGACGCCATCAAGCTGAACCTGCCCGTGAGTGCCTCGACACCTGCCCGTGAGGGTCCTGCTCACTGCCCCCGCCCCTCCGGGGGCCCCTGTCCTGGGAGGGCGGCCCCTCTGGCCTCGGCCCAGGTGGTGCAGGGAGTGGCAGGTGCTAGGAAGGCGGGCCCAGCCCAGAATCTGCGAGGATGGAAGGGCAGAGGGGACACACGGGCCTGGGTGTGGGGAGCGGGAGGCCGCGGCCTCGTGGGTGGACAAGGTGGGCTGGCCTGGGCGCAGAGGCGCACTGAGGCTCACCCTGCACCAGCCCCGTCCCCTGGAGTGACGCGTCTGCACACACAGTCATGTGCTTCTGTGGGGGTGGCCGGCCTTCCTGGGGATGGTGCCCTAACTGCATGCCTGGGGCCCACCTGACCGTCTGACGGCTTTCTCCTTTGGGCCCGAGTGGAGAACCCCAGAGTCCTGCAAGGGGAGCCCTGGGCCAGCACTTGGCAGCCTGGCTTCTGAGCAAGCTTGGCCCTTGGGCACCTGCAGGCCCTCGAGTGAAGTTTGGGATGCAGGGACGAGAGCCTAGACCCGCTCTGCAGTCCTCTGCCCACACAGACCCCCGTCAGACCAGAGGGGCTTGGCAGGGTCCGTGCTGGCCCAGGGCTCCCCGAGACCTGGCACCCCGCTGCCCTCAACTGGACAGAAACCTGGGTCCAGCCCCAGCGCCAAGCTGCCCGAGAAGACTGCCTCGTGCGCAGTCTAGGCACTTGGGAATCATGAACACCGTCTTACTGAATCCAACAGTAATGTCTCTGATTATTTCTTTCCCAGGATTATCATAAGATAATAAAAAACCCCATGGACATGGGAACCATTAAGAAGAGACTAGAAAATAATTATTATTGGAGCGCGAGTGAATGTATGCAGGACTTCAACACCATGTTTACAAATTGTTACATTTATAACAAGGTGAGAAGGTGGCGTGGCTTGGGCCCCATCTGCTGCTGTGAGTGACCAGGGGGGAATGCCAGTGTAGGGTTGGCCGGTGTCCACCGGGCCAGGCGCGTCGCAGCGGCTCTCAGACCAATTCAGGCCGCCGCGGCCTCCTGCTCAGCCCTTGTCCGGCTGCTATCCCCGTGTGCGGGGCCCACATGCCCTGCTGGCACGGCGAACGTTCGAGCAGCCTTTTCAGAAGGAGGCGGCACCCCAGATGCTTTAAAACACCTGAGCACTTGGACCTTGTTTCCCCTCTGATGGGACAAAGAGTGGTCTTTTATCCTTTGCGGTGCTTTCTGAGTTCTTCTGAGAGTTTCCACATTAAAATGTCCCTTTTGCTTCCCTCCCGCCCTGCAAGATCCCTTAACAGCTTTTTAAATACGTATTTTTCTTGAGCAGCGGCTGCGCTTTGCTGTAAGCAGCGCGGCTCCATTCCAGTGCGTGACCCTGCTTCTCCCATGTCTTCAGCCCACAGATGACATAGTGCTCATGGCCCAAGCCTTAGAGAAAATTTTTCTGCAGAAAGTGGCTCAGATGCCCCAGGAGGAAGTTGAATTACTGCCCCCTGCTCCAAAGGGCAAAGGCCGGAAGCCAGCTTCGGGAGCACAGAGTGCAGGTGAGGGGGGTGGTGCCTGCCTCCCGGAGCTGACGAGCATGTCCCCTCTGGGTTCAGCACGCCTCCCTGCGCGGTTGGTGGCAGTCGGGGCCTGGGAGCCGGCCCTCTGCCATGTGGCCTGCAGGCCGCCCACCTTGGCGCCTGCTTGGGGCGGGTACTGTGGCCTTGCCGGGTCCCCAGGCTCCTCCCCGCCAGTCCTGACTCGGAGGCTGCTCCTTCTGGAGGCCGCACCTCTCCTGTGTCCCCTCCAAGGACCTTGCCTCCCCAGCACGCAGCGTGTTCTCTGTGAATGGTCCAGGAGTGGCGGGGGGTTCGGGTCGGCACCAGGAGCCCGGGGGTGGCCTTCCCTGTCCTGAGATCCCAGAACCACGGTGGGTCCCTGTGGAGAGCTGTCCAGGGTTCCAGGAGGGGCCAGTTCTCTGGAGAGGCGGGGCAGTGGCTGGTTCTGCAGCTCTGTCCAGTTACCCGGTGATGGCCTAAGGGACCGGGTTAAGCCCCGGGCTGCGACCTCTCAGACTGTGACCTCCTGGGCCACCCGCTCCATCCTGGTTCACTCACCCGGGCCTCAGAGACGGCCGCCGTGAGGATGATGGCCAGGGTCTCGGGAGGAGGGTCCGGTCCGATGACACCATGCTGCAGACCCAGGCCAGCTCCACCTCCTGTCTTTTGCCCCCAAGGCTCACAGCAAGTGGCAGCCGTGTCCTCCGTGTGCCCAGCGACCCCCTTCCAGAGCGTCCCCCCCACGGTCTCCCAGACGCCCGTCATCGCCGCCACCCCTGTGCCAACCATCACCGCAAATGTCACGTCAGTCCCTGTCCCCCCGGCCGCCGCCCCGCCTCCCCCTGCCACGCCCATCATCCCTGTGGTCCCTCCCACACCGCCCGTCGTCAAGGTGAGCTTTCCTGGTCCCGGGCAGGGGCTGGGGCACTCTGTCCTTTCCCCGGTCACAGGCTGCCCCGGGCACGCCAGCCTCTGGACCGGTCCCATCCTCCCGTGGGGTGGGCCGCAATTCCCGACACCCAACGCTCGAGGCCGCAGGTCACACAGCTGGCGAGGGCGGCTGGGCTGGGACCCCGGCGTCTCTGGCCTCCGTGGTGCAGATGGGCTCCCGGCGGGGCGTGCAGGAGGGCACGTTCGGGTTTCCAGCGGTTGGTGCAGGGAGGGCGACGGCAGCCTCCGTGCACGCCCCTCCCTGGCTTCACCGGGAGCCTCCCCTGCAGGGCCCGACTCGGAGCACTTGCTTTCCCCGAGGTCCGCTCCCGCTGACGTGCACCGTCTTCTCCGCTTTGACCCTCACAGCGACCCTCGGGGGCAGGCAGTGTTTCCCCCATCTTTCAGATGAGGAGGCGGGCGCGCAGAGGGGTTAAATGGCTCCCCCAAGGTAAAACGCCACTCGCCCTGCCCTGCAGCCTCTACTGCCTGCCCTTGGGTGGCGCTGGCAGGTCGTCCCGCCCAGCGCCCTGCTGCCTTGGAGCATGTCCCATCTGCTGCGTCCCCAGGAGCCCAGGGGCCCCGCGGCACGCGCTTGGCCTGCCGTGGGCGCCGTGACATGCGTGTGTGGGTGGCTGGCTCGTGCCTGCCAGCCTGGGGGCAGGGGCTTGGCTGGGGCAGCGCCCTTGGTGGCTGGCCTTGGCGGCGTGCACGCGGCGGACCCCGGGGAGGCCGCTGGCCGGGTGCTCATGGCTCCCGGGGGCTGCCCTGCCTGCCTGATGGGGTGGGGGGGTTCTGAGCCGGTCTTGGGGTGGCTCCCCACCCTGCCTGCTCAGGCGCCCCATACTCCCCACTGTGCCTGCCCAGCAGGGGCGGGCGGGTGGCTTCGGTGTTCCCTCCCTGGCGGGGAGCCACTCCTAGAGTCAGCTCTGGACCTACCCAGCGCTCGGCCCCAGGGTCCCTGCTGGTGTCTCTGGGGCCCCCACCCCGCCGCCCGCATGCTCCTCTCATGCCACTGTCCGTAGAGCGCCCGCTTTGAGGCTCGTGTCAGGGACGCCCCCTCTGGTTCGCAGGGGTCTCCCGTATCTTCTGTCCCCGGACCCCACTGGGTGACCGTCCCAGTCACAGTGGGACCCTGGTGTTGCAGGCCCCTAAGCTGTGGTCTGGGCACAGGTGGGCAGCGTGATACGTCTCAGGGTGATGGGCGCCCCCTGTGACTGTGGGGCCTAGGGGCCCAGGTGGCCTGAGTCCAGCCTCACCACCGCCAGCTGTGTGACCTTGGGCAGGTGCTGTGGCCCCTCTGAGCCTCGGCGTCCTGCGTGGCGTGGGGGCCCCGGGAGGGCGGCGGTGACTGCATGCCCTCGCTTCGCTCAGGGCCTGGCGGGCGGTCAGCGCTCCAGGAGCGCCCTCGGGCGGGTCCTGGTCCGTCCCGCCCCCTGCGGGCACGGCTCCCGGGCTCACCGCCATCTCCGCTGTCACAGAAGAAGGGCGTGAAGCGGAAAGCGGACACCACCACGCCCACGACGTCGGCCATCACAGCCAGCCGCAGCGAATCGCCCCCGCCGCTCTCGGACCCCAAGCAGGCCAAGGTGGTGGCGCGGCGGGAGAGCGGGGGCCGCCCCATCAAGCCGCCCAAGAAGGACCTGGAGGATGGCGAGGTGCCCCAGCACGCGGGCAAGAAGGGCCGGCTGTCCGAGCACCTGCGGCACTGCGACAGCATCCTCAAGGAGATGCTCTCCAAGAAGCACGCGGCCTACGCCTGGCCCTTCTACAAGCCGGTGGACGCCGAGGCTCTGGAGTTGCACGACTACCATGACATCATCAAGCACCCGATGGACCTGAGCACCGTCAAGGTACGTGGCCGGCCGGCTGGCCACGCCCCGCCCCCCGTCTGTGCGGCCCCCGCTGCACATCCCGAGGGGCCGCGGCGGTGCGCTCAGG